CCATGTCCAGATTTTTCTCTAGAAGGGAGGAAATGAGAGCATAAGAGCAGAAAAGGAGGAAGATGACATGTCTGGAGGAAATCCCACAAGCAGCCTGACCTCCTTCACTGCCACCACACTGCCTACTCCCTCCCTGCTGCTACCCAGAAAAAGGGAAACTGAATCCCATGCTTGAAGTGCTGTCTGCCTTCTCAGTCTGTGCTAGTCACTCCCCAGACCCTCCCAGTTCTCCTCCTAGTCTTCTTGTCTCGATCCATCAACTTGCTAATCTCTTCCAGGAAAGGCTGATAAACCACCCTTCCCACTCCTGCCCTTGGGTCTCCGCTCTTGCCCATCACATTCCCAGAAACATGACATCCTTTCCCTTAAGGACCTTTCATCCCCATCACATGCTCACAAGAACACATCATCCCTTTGAGTCTTGGCTATCTCACTCCTCCAGCAAATTTCTGATGGTGTCACAGAACCGAGTTGGCTACAGCTTTTAGAAGGTGATTTCCTAAAGGTCAAAAATTTTCTGAAGTCCAAAAGCCAGGCTTGATTTCCTTCTCGCTATTGTTATAAAATTATCTAATATTTTAAAACAAAGTCTAAAAATAAAAGGATTGTCAAAAGGTCTCAACCATCCACCAAATCTCATCAGTGTGACTTCTTTCTTTCTCAGTTTGACTTCCCGAGTTGCAGCAACCTCTTGAATTTCCCCCTTTGGGATTCTACAAAAGGTCTCCATGTCAACTGAAAGATCTGGTGGAATATTCTGCTGGCAGCCTAGAAGACTTCTTTGAGATTAGGAGCAAACTGTTATCCTCAGAAGGCTTCCTCCTGGAAGCTGGTCCACATTTTGCAGGCTGGATGCTGTTTTGGTCCTCACAGTCCTGGTTCTCACAGCTCAGAAATGATCCACTTTAAGGGGAAAGGTTCAAAGAAGGGCAAAGATTATCAAAGGTCTGGGGAAATTGAATAAACGGGAACACTGTCACCCCAAGAGCAGTGACTAGGGTGGGATATGATAGAGGTCTACAATATCTTCATTGCCCAGGACTGAGTGGCTAAGATCAGCACTTCAGCATCTTTGTGGAAAAAAAGAATGGAGGGCATCAAATTAATTAGTTGAAACCAGGTTCAAAATAAGACAGGTCTTATTCAAGAACTTGTAAATCCATGGAGCTGCTTTTCAGGGGCTCAGAGAGGGATAGGAAAATGATAGTTTAAAATTTATTAAAGAGAAATCGTGGAGTCAGGAACATCTCCCAAGTTAAAAATTACCAGTACCATAAAGAGCACCAGAAGGAAGCATCATTAGTTTACCTTGTTCTTGCTTTTCTCTGGACAGCTGCTTGTAACCACTCTTGGAGGCAAGATCTGGGCAAGAACAGTCAGACCACCAACAGAATTCACCTGCCTGCCTTCAGCATCCAGCTCATCTCTCACTTCCCTCTTGTCCTGACATAAGTTAATGTCACTGCATTCTGCAGGTGACTCCTGGATGGAGCAGCAGGCAACTTACCACTCCCTGTTCCTTGTCATCTTTGCCACAATGTTCTTGGAACAGTCTTTTCCAACTCAGGATAGCCATTTCCACCCCAGGTACACCAGTATATAGATATTTATAAAATAAGTTTTCTATTTATTAATTTATTTTTTAATATATATATTTGATACCTACAGTGTATATCCTATATCCAGCTGTCATTTTGAGGAGGGTTCAGACAGAGTGAAGACAGCCATGTGCACACCACAGTAGTGTTGCCATAGGTACAAGCAGATCTGAAAGATTTTCTTGGATCTGAAAGGTTTTCCAGGCAGAAAAGAAAATGTTGAGGCATCACAATTACTGTAAACTCAAGAAATGAGGCAAGATGTGCAGACAGGTTTGGATGAACAGGTTAAAAAGCAATGTTTCTGGAAACTGATTCTATGACTAAACAGTTCACAAACCTGGATGGCAGGAGAAGCGCTAGACTGGTGGATACCTTTGGGAGTTCCTGGCTCTGTTATAACAGCCACACCTCTTGCCCTGCCCAGGCCTCTTCCCCATGGTTACAGACAGCACTTTTCCTTTGATTTGCTCTTTATTGTTTTTTCTCCACTGCAGCACCTGCTGAGCAATGACAAGCAGGATACCAGTGAGTTAGAAACCTGTGAACCATCTGACTTGATACTGAAGTGGGGCTTAAAAGTCATGCTTTAAACAACACATCACATAGGATATGCCATCAAATTCAGCAACTTCCCCATGATGAAGCCAGGACTTTGAGCTGCATTTGAATTAGCCAAGTTACTGGCATTGAACTGTAGAACTATAGAATCATCTAAGTTGGAAAAGATCATCAAGTCCAACCATTAACCCAACACTGCCAACTCCACAATTAAACCATGTCCTCAAGTGCCAAATCTACACATTTTTTAAAACCTCCAGGGATGGTTACTCCTCCCCATTCCTGGACAGCCTGTTCCAGTGCTTGACAACCCTTTAGGTGAAAAAATATTTTCTTAGTATCCAATCTAAACCTTCCCTGGGGAAGCCTGAAGCCATTTCCTTTTATCCTATTGCTTGTTACCTGGGAGAAGAGATTGGTCCCCGCCTTGCTACAGTGTCCTTTTCTGTGGTTGTAGAGACCGATAAGGTCCCTCCCAAGCCTCCTTTTCTCCAGGTTAAACACCTCCAGCTCCTTCGGCCACTCCTCATTGGACCAGTGTTCCAGACCCTTCCTCAGCTCCATTGCCCTTCCCTGGACATGCTCCAGCACCTCAATGTCCTTCTTGTACTGAGTGGCCTCTTTCTTGTACTGAACCCAGGATTTGAGGTGAGGCCTCCCCAGTGCTGAGTACAGGGGGATGGTCACTGCCCTGGTCCACCTGGCTGACACAGGCCAGGTGCCATTGGCCTTATTGGCCACCTGGCCACACTCTGGCTCATGTTCAGCCACTGTCGACCAGCACACCCAGGTCCTTTTCCACCAGGCAGTTTTCCAGCCACTCCGTCCCAGGCCTGGAGCACTGCAGGGGTTTGTTGTGATTGGCCCTGCTGAACCTCACACAATGGGCCTCAGCCCATCGATCCAGCTTGTCCAGACACCTCTTCAAAGCCTTCCTACCTTCTCACCTACCTTGGTGTCATCTGTGAACTGACTAAGGGTGCACTTGATCCCCTGGTCCAGATCATTGGTAAAGATATTAAAAAGGACTGGGCCCAGTACTGATCCCCAGAGGATCTACTGATGACCAGCTGCCAGCTGGATATAGTACCATTCACCACTACTTTCTGGGCCTGGCCATCCAGCCAGTTTTTACCCAGCGAACAGTGCACCTGCCCAAGCTATGGGAAGCCAGTTCCTCCAGGAGGATGCTGTGGTAGACAGTGTAAAAGGCTTTGCTGAAGTCGAGGTAGACAACCACCATGGCCTTTCCCTCATCCGCCAAGCAGGTCACCTTGTCACAGAAGGAGATCAGGTCACCTTGTCACAGGAGATCAGGTCAGTGAAGCAGGACCTGCCTTTCATAAAGCCCTGCTGGCTGGGCCTGATCCCCTGTTTGTCCTGCACATGCCACGTGATGGCACTCAGTATGCTCTGCTCCATGACCTTCCATGGCACTGAGCTCAGGCTGCCAGGCCTGGAGTTCCCTGGATCCTTCTTCCGGCCCTACTTGTAGGTCGGCATCATGTTTGCCAACCTCCAATCCGCTGGGACCTCCCTGGTGGGCCAGGGGAAATGGTAAATGATGGAAAGTGGCTTGTTGAGCACTTCCACTACTCCCTCAGTGCCCTTGGGTGGATCCCACCCGGCCCCATAAACCTGTGGTTCTCTAAGTGGTGTAGCAGATCATTGACCATTTCCCCTTGGATCATGGGGGCTTCATTCTGCACCCTGTCCCTGTTGTCCAGCTCACAGGCCTGGGTACCCCAAGAACAACTGGTCTTGCTATTACAGACTGAGGCAAAGGTGGCATTAAGTACTTCAGCCTTTTCCTCCTCCTCTGTCACTATTCTTCCCACCACATCCAACAAAGGATGGAGATTGTCCTTAGCCCTCATTTTGTTGCTGAGGTATTTATAGAAACAGTTTTTGTTGTCTTTTATGGCAGTAGGCAGGTTAAGTTCTAGTTGGGCTTTGGCCCTTTCAGTGTTCTCCCTGCATAATCCCACAACATCCTTGTAGTCCTCCCAAGTTGCTGCTTCTTCGACAGGTCATAAATTCTCCTTTCTTTCCCAAGTTCCAGACAAAGGTCTCTGTTCAGCCACACCAGTCTTCTTCCCCATCGGCTCATCTTTTGGCCCATGGTGATGCCCTGCTCCTGTGCCTTTAAGATTTACTTCTTGAAGAATATCCAGCCTCCCTGGATTCCTTTGTCCTCCAGGACTGCCTCCCAAGGGACTCTGTTGCTGAGCATGTGTTACCCAAGGAAAAAATGGCATCTCAGATCACAGAAATTCAGAGAGCCATGTTATCATGAAATATGACTTTCTGATTTACTTGACCTTGTCTGCTGGAAATTGGCAGAATCCCCAAAAACTGAGGAGAGGGAGTAGTTTACCTGACATCAAGAAGGCTTATTCTTTCATCTCTTGTCAATACAATCTACAAAGTATTAATGATCATATGAGGCTGAAAGTTATGAATCAAGTTTGTTACATAATTATTTTTCTTCCTATTTTATCTGTAAAATATCCGACTGCCTGTCTGAGTCTTTCCACTCAGCACCTTTATGAGACTATGCTAGTACAAAGGAATGTGACTTAAAGGCCATACAGGAGAAAAAAAAAGGAACTAAGCTATTCTCTATGCTTTTCTGTGATGTCTTAGTGTGTTATCAGAAGTCACGGACTTCGGGGAAAGATGTCCTAGATAGAGGCACCATGGAGGAGGGGGGAATTTGCTGGGTATCTACAGCACCAAAAAAATCTATGTGCTAAACCAGATTTACAAAGATGCTGTTGTGATTCTTCTGTACATGGTTTAGCAAACCCAGTTACAGTTATATTTCCACAGATGACTCCAAATGCTGCTAAAAGAGTTTATTAAAGACCATACTAACAGTTCTCATAACAATGGCACGTACAATGATTCAAAATCATGACAAATAGCGTGGAGTTTTGAAGAGCATTAGTATAACACACCATGGACAAGAACAAAGCAGATGTGCTGTCTCAGAACTCTACCAGCAGGCCTATGAAATACAGGAGTCACATCATACAGCTGTACAAGTATCAGAGAAAATAGAAAGAAAAAAAAAAGTCATTCAATTGCAGTCCTTGAATTTATTGACAGTATTACAGTACTTTATGGGCAAGGACTGGCTTGTTCCAGATGCACTTTCCAGAGCACAAGGGCAGCTGGAAAAGCAAAAATATCCCCAATAAAAACCCTCCAACAAACATACCTCAGGTGCAATCACCACTCCAGACCTTCCTGCTTACGAATATTCAGTCAGAAATTCTGACCTCCCTGCAATTACTTCGCTCAGGACAGTGTTTTGTTTTGCAAGAAAACAAAAGCAGGATGCTTCTTTAAGACAGTGCAAAAATATTTCAATGGTATCATCAATGGTATCGTAAGATTAATAACAATCGGCGTGGATCAATCACAGCATCTTCAAGATCAGAACCAAACAAACGTGCTGCCCCTTGACCAGCACTCCAGACTGAGGGCTTGCAGAGGGGAGGCTTCTTCCTCTCTCCCAGGCAAGCCATCGTTTCTGGGTTCATAGTGAGGAATGGTCTTAGCTACTCCAGGGTAACAAAATGCTACAGAAAGCCTGCAAGTATGAAATTATCCAATCCTCTGTCAAAAACTAACAAAAGAATATCGAAGTGGAAAAAAAGTACATAGCAGCCATGTAATTTGTCACGGCTCTAACTCTACGACTCTAACGCTGATCCCTTCCTTACCGCGTTGGTCACGGTAGCCGGAGCGTGCCTTGCGGAGCTGAGCAGCTTTACAGCACCCCCACGGCGGCGCGAGATTCCCGGCAGCACGTGGGGATTTATATTCTCCGAGACACACTGTCTAATTACAATGGCAGGGCAGCTGCAGCCTGCTCCTGGTGTGTTGCCTTCGCAGCTTTTGGCTATGAGATCTTAGGCCCCTCTGCACTTGTCTCCCATGCTCAGAGCAGCACACCCGTGGACATACATTCATCCGGTGTGCATCTCCAGAGCGATCTGCCACTTCCTTTTTAAGCAGATGTTGAGGTGTCTGCATACCATGTTGGCATAACCTGTGACAGAAGATCCCCAGGCAACTCCACAGTACATGAATTCAATGAGAGATAACTGTGCTTTGTCAAGCCCCCAAATCATCTCCTCCCAATTTCCACACAGTTGTGTGTTTGCATCGTAGTGTGATTATGTAGAACCTTTTTAATGCCTGCCAACTTCAGAGGATAAAATCACAGTGCTGCATATCAACAAAACCCAGCAACTCCAGCCTCCAATATAAAATAATTTATATACACAAAGCAGAATTTGCATCTTAAATAAGAGATTGTCTCATTCTCTATGGTGTCTTACCCAGCTACTAAAAAATAAATAATTCACATCAGATTGATGGATTTGTTTCCTATACAGCACACGTGCGCTATCGGAGCTGACAAAGACAACATGGAAAAAAACCTTTTGCAATTAATAAAAGAGAATTGTTGAACACTTGCACATATTGGCACAAGGCAGAAGAGAAAAGGGAATATTACACAGCTCAGCTCAGGTGCCTTCCTCTGTGGAGCGGGATTCAGATTTCAACTTTACAAATTCTCTGGCAACTTCATCATTGGTTCTCTGAGAGAGAATCCTCAAGATTGTAAGTCCAGTCTCATCCATGTGAATCCTGCGCCCAAGGGGGCACCAGCAAGCACAGCTTCCTTTGTCTGCTATGTCTCTGAGCTGCATCACTGCTATCCCCAGTACCCGGTCCTCCCGAGCGAAGCAGTAATCCTTCACACAGACTTGGAGCTCATAGGCATCGGGGCCATCTTCATTCCCCAGGATGCTGAAAAACACACACAAATTTCTAAAGTGTATAAATTCCTCTGCAGAATAAAGGTGTCAGCAGCTGACTAGAGTGCTCTGATAAGCCACAGAAACTCATTTCTTCAGAAAACCCTGGTCAGGGAGGGAGAAGTAAAACTTATAGCATGTGGGCATTTTTGCTGATTTATAGCAGATAAGACAACCTGGTTACTTAAAAAAAAAAACAAACCAACAACCTTATCAAGTTGGGGTGTGTGTGTGTGTGTGTGTATTAAACTGTGAAATGAGAGGAGCATGGAACATTAAAGCCATGCTAATAGATTTTCAAGTCAGAAGACTTTAAACATTTCTGCTTCTCTTAAGGGTTGCTTCATTTCAGAATTACTATTTTAATTAGATGAGGTCTTTGTTAAAGATTCAAAACCTTCCATTAAAGCAAAAGCTAATAAAAATAAATCCCCAACCCTTCTGATGTTGCTAAAATTAAACGAATAAAAGGAACAAAATCTCTTCACTTAGAGGAAGCCTGACTTTTCCCACAGAATAGAAAAATTATATGAACATTCTCTCTTCCCCAGAGATTCACAGTCTTTTGCTGGTCAGCTCTGCTCCACTCATTTTTACATGTACAGCTGAGTGAGCACTAGCCTGCAGCTCCCTTTGTTGAGCCTTCAAAGAAGGAATATGTCTTTGTAATAATGAAAGAAAGCCAAATAAGAAGAGATCAATACTCGACATTGAGAAACACTGCAATTTTAGCAGTGCAACCAGCAGTTCCGAGGGCTGTATCCTTGGAAACAAGTTCAGAAAGCATGTCCCACAGGTCAAGTAGGGATAAAAACGTACATTGAGGTTAAGAGAACGAAAAACATGTAGTGAACTTTTAGCCTCAACTCTACCAATAAAAGATACAAAGTTCATTAAAATGACAGAGTAAAATACGTTCATAGGACACACAGTGCATTTCAGAAGGTAGCTAAAGGACTCTCCTGGTACAGAACAGACCTCAGCATCCCACCTGCAGCAAAAATTCCCATGATCTAGTGTTTCCTGCCAAGGAACCAGGCACAGGGCCAAGCTACTGGTTCACACACTCTTCTGGGCCCTGAGCAGGTTGTTTGTGGACACTGAAAACCCCTATCTGCCCTCTGCATCTGCACTTGCCACACCAGATCCCTAGGCTATTTTTCACACTTACAAGTGAAAGGTTTCATTGTATTTTGGAGCCCAGTTGTTGCTCTTTGACTTGGTTGTGAACTTCCTCTTCTTGTCACTCTGATGGGGCCCAATCATGGTGATTTCAACAAATGGACGGAACATGCCAGACGTCTGCCACTTCAGGTCATTGGCTGCCACAACTGGAAAAGAGAGTTATCATCTGTTCCCATTGCTCAGGACACCTTTCCGCCCCACCCTGCTTTCAATTTCTTGCTTCAGGGGGCAATGTCACAACACGCATGGGCAGTGTATATATTTTGTACTACAAAGATGTATATGCTTTTTTGATCTAATTTAAAGTCTGTGAAGGGAATTTAATGTTTGGGACATACAGCTTCTGCTATATGCATTGTCAAAAAATTAGCCCAAGAAAACAGGCATCCCTGCAGCTCTGGGCAGGTTGCCTTGACAGTTCAGTACTTACATCTACCTTATGGGTGGGATAAGAAAAAAAAAAGGAGGATTTTGGAGGCCAATATTAAGGTCGCTGTTGAAAAGGAAAATGAGACTGCAGGTAAGACAAACAAACAACATGAGCTGTGAGTGGTTCCAGAATCCACAATTATTAGATTTTTAATTCTCTTTCTCTCTCAGGTCACTGCAGGGAACAGACTGAAGCAGAGGAAATAGCTCTGAAAATCAGCTTTTGCACTGCAGTGTAGATTTAGCCAAAAGAGAGGCCTGAAGAAATCTTCATGTAAATCTTTAGAGGAAATTATTTAAGTATGTTGTATTCAAGAAAAGGAGACGAAGGAGGAAGAGGAAGCCTGGGATGAATCACTACTTTGGCTATTTTCAGAGTGGCTCTTCAGGGACCAACGTGGCCTTCAGGATGGGGGAGAGGAGCCTCTGAACTCTTACTGGTTCCGTGATCTCTGGCTATACACTGAACAGTTTCGTAACATCGCCCTGTCACGCTGCCCTGTTCTCTGCAGCACAGACTAAACTGTGGCGCCTGGTGAGAGCCATCATCTGATTTTTGTTTACTGCTTATATCGTTGCCAATAAACAACAGGGCTGTACATTGCCATGTCACTGGCTGGACAAGCTCATTTGCTGTTTCTCTACATGTTCCTGATGTGAAACAGAGAAAACAATTGTGGACTCAGATCCCATGAGCTAACACTATCATGGCTGCCAGCTGGAGATTTGCCTCGATGCAGTCACAGAGCCTGAGCAGTAACACATGATTTGCCATACCTTTCACCGTGACCTTGTGTTCACCAGTCCCTGGGTGCGTGTACAGGTCAATCTGTATGGACACTTCACCCACAGGATCATCCACACCGGAGCCTGTTGGAAGAAAATGGACACCCCCCCATGCACACATGGATTACTGTTTATTGGCACCAGTCTTGGCCTCAGCAAGACAACATGGTGTTTTCACAGTGCACCTTCCATAGCCAGCTTTTCAGTCAACACCAATAATGTCACGTTAATGCAAGATATCATCAGGCTCGCATGCCCAACACGCATGAACGCTAACATTTCTTGCACTCCACCGTGAAGATCACATCCTATTGAGAATAACAGTAAGAATTTCAAAAGAATTTAAAAGACCTGATGCTCAACAATGGACCTTCACAGAGAGCAAGGATTTTTCAGAGGTTCCTGCCAAGGTATTGTGTGTACATGCAGGCATTCCAGTGGTGGGCATCGGCATTCCTGTCTGCCCAGGGAAGAAGGGAGGACAAAAAACCCAGCAACAAAAAGAAAGGAGGAGGAGAGGACATCACACGAGAGAGGAAGTTTAGGGGAAAAAAATACATAGATGCTAGTGATTTGCACAGAGCTATAGTGCAGTCTCACCCTCCAAGAACCTTTTTCCATGCTGTACATCAGTTAAAAGTTGTCATCCTGACTGCCTATCTGCTTCCTTTTGGAGGATAATGAGAACCCCTTCTCTGTTGTGCATCAAAAATGATGAGAGAGAAGTACTCACAATTTGCATACTTGTTTCCCTTTATCAATTAGTCAGGGACAAAACAAGATGTAGCTTCAGAGAGGAAAAGACAGCATGTTGTTACAGAGACAAGATCTCATGAACCTTACCATTCATGTATTATGATTTTTTCATCTTTTTAACTTTAAATCATGATTATCATGGAATATGTGGAAATGACATTTTCCTGGGTAGTAAAATCAAGATGTCATGTAATTACACAATAAGACTGTTTAGCAAATGAAAATGAAGTCTTTGATAAGATAGTGAGATTGATTTTACTTTTGCTTTGATAACTGCCTGACCTCAGGTTGACAATTACCAATGCTGTTGTAATTGAGATACCTACAGCCTAATTGAGTACCTATGAGCAGTTTTGAGGCTAAGACACATTACTAAGTGAAAAACTGGTCTGTTTGAAATTCTAGATAAGGAATCAAACATTTTGATTAGATCTAACAAATCAACTTACACAAGAATGGTCTGCAGGCAGCAAAACCACTCATTTAAAATCCAAGAGGTTGAGAGGTAATCTGTGCAATTCTCTGAAGAGAATTACATGCCACAGAACTGTAGGCAGTGAAAGTCATATTAATATAAAAGTAAAAGTATCTGAGCAACCAAAAGAGAACCTCAAATTATTATCTTAGGGTAGATTCTAATGCTTGACCTGCGTACAATAAACAATCTTTAGGCTGTAAAAAACATGATCTTGAATGTACTGTTTCCTCCCCACTTAGAAGGGCAGTGTCACTTTTTTGTATATAAGCACAGAGCTTTAAAATTGGCAGGCATAATTATTGACCTGATTCATCTGATGGTGTGGGTCTGTCACTTACAGATGTTGGTGTTTTCCACAGGAACAGACAGGATTACCAACAGTATGTAACTGCCTAATCCACAGAAACATCAGCCAACAGACACTCAGGTCTTAATTTTATTGATCTTTAGTGTAATTAATAGGTTATAAAGGAGACACTGATGCTTCAGAAGAATGACAGTGGAATTTCACCATTACCTTTGAGGATGACAAAATTTAGATTATTGTTTTATTCCTACCTTCGTTCTTTCCTTTTCATACAAAACCCTTGTTCTACTAACTGAAATTACCAAAAAAAAAATCCACTTTGAAAAATGCCAGCTGAACACGTACAACTGTGTGCATACACGTTTGCAGATTTAATTCTTAACATGAAAATCTCATTGGTATTGCAATACTGAAAGGTGAAACTGCAGAACTGAGCTCGTGCAATAGGTTACAGATGTATTTCACCTAAGATAATAAAAAGACTTTGGACAGCAAAAAATAAATTGAGAGATGAAACATTACAAGACTTAATTTTTTTAGGGGTCTCCTGAGCACCCAGACCTTTAGCTACCCCCCTTCAAGCCAGGTGGTTCAAGCTTGGCATAACCTTGAGTGCAAATCAGACATTTCCATGTATTACAGTAGCTCTTCTCAGCAAACCATACACATGCAAGTCCAAGACTTGAAATACACAGCCCGTGGTAAAGGGTAGGGGAACACGTCTGCAGCATCTCCCAAAAAACAGTCCATTTTCAAGACAAGGTTCATATCCCATTAATAAATCTCAAGCTTGGGGACAGGCTCTCAGGCAAGGTACAGACTTCTAAACCGCACAACCTGTGGCTCTTCTGTGGGATGCAAGCATTCAGTGAAAGTTCACTTCTACAGGGAACTACAGGAAACAGGACTCTGGAAAAGGTTTCTGAGCATGGGCAAGATGACTTCAAAAGCAAGGCAGTTGGGTAATGTTGTTATGGTAACAACATTAATCTTGAACATACCCTTATCAGGAAGAACGTCCTCATTAGCGGTAAACCTTATACCTTTCCCATCATGCACTGAGACATGAATTCAAAAGGCAAGAAGAAAGCAGGATAAAGAGAGAAGAGTATGAATTACAATACAATCAGCAGTGTCACTTAAACACAAGACAAATATTCTAGCTCTTAATAACAGACAAAATATCCTCCTAGGTCTTCTGCCCCAGTCCAGGCTTTGGAGAGCAAGGCTGTCCATGATTAAGGGATTGTCTGGGTTAAAACAGGAACAGAATTTGTGCTGGCGTAACAAAACTGCAAGCCCTGATCCAGATCTGCAGAGCAAATATTTAACAGCCTAGTGCTATCGAAGCCTGCTCAGTAAGGAAATGAGAGCGGTAGGTACCTCACAAACTGGAAGAAGCAACCATTGAACAGTGAAGTAAGAGAAGCAAGCAGCATTTAAATAATTCTGCATGAAGCCATGTCCTCCCATGGGCTTGTGGGACACGACTTGTGCAAAGGGAAACATGAGTCACAGCTGTAAATAGAGGTGCTGTCCTTTCTGCCCCTTCAACGTGTGTGCAGATCTCCAAACCCACCTACCAGCTGTAAGTAGAAGTGTAAGCAAGTAATATTCTTCTTTAGCCCAAATCCCAGGAGAGAGTCATGCCTTTCTCAGAGATATTCCATCATAGATATTAGGTGGAGGAGCTCAAATCTTTTATTCCCCAAACAGGGTCCAAAACTCTCAAGCCCACTAATATACAAGATGCTGATTTGGACCAGCTCAGTGGCCTACCATGCCTAGTACTTGTTCTACAAAGTGGCTCAGATAAGTCACTCAGTCAGCTATGAGATATAATTGATGACCTCGTAACATGTGCATCTTATGTCCTAAAGCTAGAGCTTCATTCTTTCTAAGCTTCTTAAAAAATACATAAATAAATACCCAGGCACACACTTCTGTGGCAACCTTCTATGTTCCTGCTGCTTAGAGATTATGTTCTATTATCTTTGTGTCTCTGCTAAATATTTGCCCCCAGTGAAATTCTACAGTCAAATCATGCATTGCATAAACCTGCTTTCTCATATCATCTTTGAATTTGTCACTTTGTGACTTCAATGGAGCAATTTCTTCCTCTAATTTTAAACACTCCTGACTGTAGCATGGACTGGAGAATGACATTGCATTGCCCCACACTTCCTTGTATCTTGGGTCATCATGGCTATGTAACAGTATCCACATAAAAAAATAGCTTCCATTCGTGGTTTGGATATGTAACGTGAAACATTTGCATAGGGCAGCAAAAACTGAAAGCACTCAAGTGTGCACTCAAGTTCCCTGTTAAAAAGTATTTTGAGTAACTGATGACAACAGCCAAGTTCCTGGAGTCCCTGGTGGATGTAGAAGTCTTTGACCTGTCTGGCCACTGGATGTCATCGTTGCTCTGCTGGGACACAGCTACAGGACCATTCTCTCAGAGGCAGGTACTGACTTTTAGTTAATTTCAATGTTTTAATGCAGTATGTTTCAACCTAAGCAAGAGTAGACCATGCTTCTAAAGGTAGGGATCACAGAATTACAGAATCGTCACGGTTGGAAGAGACCTTCAAGATCATCTAGTCCAACTGTAAACCCAGCACCACCATAATCACCCTTAAACCATGTCCCCAGGTGCCACATCCACACCTCTTGAACACTTCCCAGAGATTCTGCTAGCTCCCTGGGCACCTTGCTCCAATGTCTAACCACCCTTTCAATGAAAAAAATAAATTCTAATATCTAATCTGAACCTCCCCTGGGACAATTTAAGACCATTTCCTCTTATCCTTTCATTTGAGACATATCACAACCAACTCCCACCTCACTACAACCTCCTTTCAGGTAAGTTTCAGGTCCCCCCTGAGTCTTGTCTTCTGATGATTCAGCCCCCCACAACTACACTCAACCTTTCACTTTAGAAACAAACCTTGCTTTGCTTACGAAATCTCTGTACTTTCTACTCAGAGAATGCCAGTATCAAGCAGACTCATTTGCACAAATGGGAAAAGTCTCTCGACTAAGGAGTGCTTTCCCCTTGATTTTGGGGCTCGGTGTGATGGTATGCTGGCAGAGTTAGTACCATCTGTGTGGTTGCCAGCTCTTGGAAGGATTAAAGGAGAAGGATCCAGTGCAAAAAGATGGCCGGAGGACACCCCCATGGAGTTCTACTTTGCTGCTGAGATGAAGCAGCCTAATGACAAGGCTTGTATTTAAACAGCCTGAGAGCTTAAAAGCATTAGTTTTGGGTTTGACCTAACCTCTAGTAGCATCTGTCCCCTCTTACTGAGATTATGAGACTCATAGTCAGCTGGTGAAGGTCCTTGACTAGAGACCAAATTATTCTGTAAAACAATCTGGAGATGCTCACATGACAGCAATGAAAGATAGAGACAACTAACTGTTTACCCCTCCAAATTCAATGAAACAGTACCACTAAGCCATAAGGCTTCCCAGAGAGCCACCAAAAACTGTGGTGACCCATCCCAGCAGCTTATTAATATATTGTGGTGATCTGTAAACATCTAGCTCCCACATATCCTGTAGCTCCATGACTCATCACGTTGGTGTCAATCAGCCTTAGTCAAGCCTGCACGGGCTGTGCTGGCAGCTGGCCTGTGGCACAGGCACTGACTAGTTTCTGCAGTGGTGTCTCGCTGAAATGGTCCCCCACACCACTGTGTAAGTCTCAGTACAGTAACTTCAAATTTCACTTAAGTCACCCACCCACATTAATTCATGAAACGTGACTGATAAGGATTGCAGAGAAAAAAGACCACAAACACCCCAAGCCTTATGTTCCACACATTTCTGCTCTCTCAAAATGTAGTCATGGAGTGGGAAATAACCCCCTTTTCCTCCTTTCCAGTTTTAAACTGAACTGTCACGTTTACAGAAACGTTACTGCCAAAAGCACTCTACAAACTGGCAGTACAAGACAGAGAAATTATGAACAGACTGGAGAGCTCCATTCAACTCTGCCAACAACACAAAAGAGTCTTACCCTGAGCTGTCTGACTCTGGACAAAGGTTTTGATGAGAGTGTCTGTGGTCTGAGTGTAGAGAGAGAGGGCATATCGAAGTGATTGCAGGTCTGGACTCTTCTCCAAGAAGGTTTTCTTCAGGCCATTCCCACCAGCATGGAAATATTGCTAAGAGTAAAAAGAAACAGGAAAAATACTGAGCAAGAACTGCAATCAGCATCCAACATGTATGTGCTATTGCATGTGCAGATAGGAAACAGCTGGAAAAATTCACAAAACAGCTTCTGTACTGGAAATCCAGCTCTTAGAACAACTGATATCAACTGTTGAGCACATGCCTTTCCTCTTCCAAAGCACTATGAGTATGCTGAATCCCAGCATGCCAGTTACCTGAGCCTATTCAGGTTTACACAAACTCCTGCCATTTCCTGAACTGGGACATGTACTGTTCTCTCAAATAGGATTTGGGGATGGAGTAAGGGAATGACAGAGGCAGAAATGGAATCACTTACTTTGATTGTATCCAGTGCCAGGTCCAGAACAGCACACTGCTTTGGAGTGAGACTCCTAGTTTCTTCTCTCACCATATGATCCTGCAAACAACCATTATATTTGACACAGGCATGCTATCAGAAGCTAAAGGAAAAGGAGTATCCACTATCATCCCTTTTTCTGGATTCACGCTGTAGTTATGTGGTGACAGCATAAATTCAGCTGTTTAAGGAACAGTTAATGGAATCTCTCAGAGTCCTTTATTACAGCTTAACTTGAAAATAAACTCATTTTCTCTCTTTTTTTTGCAGGCACAGAAGACATAAATAAGGAAAGGAAGTGGACAGAGATAAGTGACAATTTAAAATCACAGTTTGTCTCTCTAGAAAACCCAAACAAAAGTCTGTCTGCTACCACTGTCATTCTAGAGCAGCTACAACAAAACTTTCAAAACACCACCTAAATCAAGGAATTCTGGTAACTATAAGTCAAAGTTGTTATATGCTGTTTCTGGATTTTTTAGTTCTTCCAACTACAGAGGTCACTAATTCATCATGTCATCGATGTGAAGGAAGAAAAACAAAAACCATGTTCCAGAAAATATGTTTGCTAAAAGAACACATTGTTCCCATTAAGACCCACCATCTCTAATAGCAAACAGCCAGAAATCACTTGAGAAAGAATTCCCTTTCCTGCAGTGGGAGCACACCCCTTTTAGGACTCCTGGCTGACAACAAGGATGTGCCATCCTTTGGTATTTCACTAAGCTCTTTCTCTCTGATGCTTAGTCTAGGTCTCAGGAGAAGACAGCATATTTTAGGAAGCAGAGCTTTGCACAAACTCAAATTCTAACTGGAGGGTCAGGCCAGCTGACTGCAGCTTGGATGCTAAAGCATTCGTGAAGAAGATGCAGGCAAATCAGGCAAAGGCTATTTATGCTACTTTAAGCATGTCATAGCCTCCAATAAGAGACACTTCCCAGGATACACATCTGCTAAATTGCCTTTCAGTAAAGCATGCCTAGTGTGTGGCACCACGTGCACGTTTCACACAGACACACCTGCTGGCTATCTTGCAGCTTGGTGATCCTTCATGCTGCCTGGTGCTGTTCCTATTCATTATCCACTGCAATCCATCTCCTGCCTGATGGAGACAGGGATCACCGCAGTTCAGGCGCAGCACGAGGCATTTGCCACGCTTCTCACAGACATCTAGCTGGCAGCTTCACACAGTGCTGCATTAAACTGCACAGAAGATGCCTCTCAAGTTGTCAGTACCTCAGACAAGTTCACACTGTGCTTCCTTGAGTAGTGGAGACATCCCTCCACTTGCCTCTTTCCCCCACACAGGATGCTCCTGGTCTAGGGACCCATGTGCAGTGGTAGAGTACTCTGTAGGCTGCAGAGTATCTTCTGTTGTGACAAGCTGTCCTGAGCAGAGCAAATACCTCTCCTCCCTCTTCTTCATGAGCTGGGAGTAATTCAGTTGAAGATGATGTGGCTTCACACTTCAGTAGACAGAGGGTAGAGCATTCTTTTCTTTCTCTGACAGTCAGATAAAGTGCAAAATCAGACAGAGCCCAAAGCCACATTTGTAGGAGAGGCCAATTTAGTCAGGGTAGCTGTGTTTCCAAGGCAGAGTGACTTTCACATCTGTTAAAATGACTTTCTAGGCCTGCCTGCCAGATTGCCCAGACTGTGACAGAAACCAGGTGGTTTCTCTTTCTCAACATTTTTCTCTTAAACACCTGAAAAGCTCATTCAGCCCTGTTCTGAGCGGTCATTCCCCTGGTGCCCATGCTGTCAATGCACAGCAACACATCACTGCTTTCTTTGACTTTCCCACATCACTGCTTTCTTTGACTTTCCCAGTGTCATTTACTTCAACACATTATATAAAAATAACCCAGTGACTGGACTGGCAATGCTTGCACCTACTCACAGAGGAGCCCACGACTGTCATTTCCCTGCATACCTGCCCTCTGCAAATCCCACACTGTTCCTATAAAGGACTGTGCAGAGTGCTACCTTGCACTTCCCAGATTGCCAACCAGGAGCAAGACACAAATATTTACGTCAAATAATAAAGCGGCTTCAAGCAGAAGAAGTAAAAAACCAGAACAACCCAACAAACTTGTCAAACTCATCCTTGTATTCTGCACAGGTACTCTCAGGAGAAACTCTGTGGTCAGAGCCTGGCTTTTTAGCCTGAGGGCAACAAAAGGAAGGGGAGGTCGCTGCTCCCTGCTCCAGCTGCTGCCTATTAAGCAAACCAAGCAGAAAGAGTTTGATAAAAAGTGTGAGGCAGCTATGTGGCACCTAGGTTCCAGGTTTATGGTTGGCTTTCTGAGCATTTTAAAATACACTGTGAAATTGATTTGTCATTGGGATGAGAGCCTGTGCTTGTCAGGTCTGTCAGCCTCAGTTTTCAGCTGAGTTATCTGATTCACTAGGGCTCTGTTCTTCCTGTTCTATTTAAGACCAATAAAGCTTAAAATCCATCCCATAATTTTCCCAGGATTTTAGTGGAACTGCAAAATGCAGAGCAGAGTGGCTCTGAAGAACCATTTACTCATGCCTTCCCTGTTAGCTTGTATGTGCCTGCAAAAACAAAAGGATAAAAAATTGTAATATCCACGATGCTCCCAAAGACCCAAAGAATCTACACTCTCGTAACACTCCTGTTCTTCTGGAAGTTTTTGGACACAATGTTGGTTCACATAAAGGTTTCCAAAAATCAGGTGGTACAGTGCTTTCCCACTTGAGCATGACTCTCTTGCCACATATAAAATCCTGGGTACCTGCTGCTGCAGTTCTATATGTGGATATGCAAATAAAGGTTTGAACACACCCCAGGGCTTGCCTGATTTGCATGATTATGTGCATTTCTAAAAGTGCACCCCAGAGTTAACAAAGTTAAGCTTTACTGTAACTGAACTGAAGACAGGTTGCTGCTGAGGGATGGCCTTCATGTGACCAGTGCAAACAGAAACCAGCAAAGCTTCCAACTCATTCCTGGCAAAAGGCACCCTGCATATGTTTGGAAATTCCGCTTCCAGAACGTATGGAACAAGTAAAAGACAACACTGAATGTCAGTGGCCATGCTCAAGAATGCAAGCAAGCCACAGGAACTCACAGACCGTCCTTGTGACGTGGGAGAAGGAACAGAGCAAATCTGGAGCTCTGCCCCTCAGACAGCAGGAGGGCATGTAGAAGGCAGGGATGGTTTCTCTTCCGCAAATGCTGCGTTCTTGCTGATGTTTTTGAAGGGGGAAGGGGATACTCACAGGAAACAGGAGTCATATTTGGATGCTGTGGTTCAGCTCCCATTCTCCCAGGTTGGCTACAAAACTCCTTCCTACCCATTTTTCCCACGGAAGTGACACACAGCATTGCAAGCGCAGGAAGCAGTGAAGGAAATGCAATCCTTAGGAGCCACATCACCAGGGAGGACAGCCTGACCGTGGGAGTGCATGAGGACATCACTCAGCACAAGTGACAGCTATTCCCCCGGAGAGCCACACTTCAAGGTTTATGTTATGTGACTGTTAACTGATATGTAAAGGCCTCAAAATGCAGCTGGAGAAAAGTGTGCACATGTAATGACACACCTGCATGTCCAGATCACTTACTGGGATTGCTAATAAGCACCACCTTAAATGAGTTGCGTACTGGCCTGGCTCATAAGCGTGTATGTAAAATGTGTCTGCTGGGCAAGGGAAATAGATAGGTGTATGAAAACAGCTGTATTAAGTGTGCAAGACAAAAAAAACATTATAGAAAGGGACAAATAGATTTTTAAATTATTCCTAATCACTTAGGAGAATGTCCTTTGGTCTGGGAAGATTTCCCTGATCATGCTCCAAGAGAGAGTTCACGTTCAGCTCCCTTTCAGAACAGTTTGTGTACTGTGACGCTTCAGATTTAGACCTCCTCTTGCACAATATGTGTCTTGTAGCACAAGTCCAACCACAGCATAGTGCAATATGAATGCTGGAAGGCGTCACTATTCTCATACCATTCCTGTCGTGATCAGCGAATTAGTGCTTGATTTGCTTATGATGAGGTGGCGTGCACTTCATAATGCTCATGTCATGCACTGTCATGTCATGCACTGTCAAAACACATCAACATAGCCTTCATGCTAAATGCCAGCTTGCCTGTAAAGAGAGCCCACGCAGAAGGAATTTACAGACACAGGCTCTCTTCCATAACAGTTATTTTTGTAACAGTCCATATAATTCATCCACAGCTAGCACAATCGTCTTTCCAACCAATACCTCATTAGGGACTCCCTTTTACATATGAGGATACAGAGGAACTGGACAGATAATTGAGAAATCTACTTTTTTTCATTTTAAATTGATGTCCAAAACTTACCACTGTATCTACAGAAGAGAAAAACTACTTTGATGATTAAACTCACAATAAAATTAACTGTTAAACACTATACTAATGTTAGTAGAATGCATTTAAAAGCACACAATGCATTTAAAAGCATTTCTCTACAACTCCATTCAGTGACAAACCACTGGAAGCACAAGACATGCTATGCACTACTACACCTCCATGCTTACACACAGGGATAATAACAGAAGCCATGCAGGACAATACCTTCAGCTTTGACAAGTGTCCCAGTTCCTTAGCAGCACTGAAAATCAACTGTGTGCCCTATGATGGCGAGAAGTTAGAAAAGAAAGGAGGGGGAAAAAAAGGTTATAAACAAGCTTTGCATATTTTTCCAAGCAAGTCAAGCCAGTTCACAGCTAAAACTTTACATAACCTTCCCAAGGCCAGACACAACAACTGGACTCCTTGCCTGTTTATTATGTAGTGCAAAAACTGGCATTTCTATGGATACCACATCAGGACCTATTTCAGAGCACAATATTTTGCTAACTGGTTCTCTTGTTTACAGCAGCCACACATTTATACAGTATGTGGCTTCAAACGGATTGCACAGGCTCAGGGTGGAGGCAGTGCACTGGAATCGTATCCATGTGCTCCTTCAGATTTCACATCTAAATACACATGAAAACAGCATAAGATTGGCCAAAGCAAAAGATCACAAAACTGATGAAAATCTCACTGTAGAGGTAGAGCCCAATCATCAGGGTGAGGGTAAAGCACACCTCAGATCACAAACAAAACTGCACCTGAGCTGTTTACAAGTGAGAGATTGCCAAAGTCCAGCGAATACTGCAGTATCAGCTTTAAATGTCAAGAGCTTGGCCAGTGGCTCTTCTTCCCCTACTGTGCCTTACTGAAGCTGTATAACCAATGGAGAAACACAAAGGGAAGATAAATCCCAATGGCAGGAAATCTCGCTTCAAGTCACTTACACTTCCATATAATGTATTTTTATATACTTTTCCAGCAATGGTTGCAACTAAGATATTTTTCCTTTTTTTTCCTACACACCATTTCTCTGTTGTGTAATATTCCCTTTGCCTGGGGAGTGAAGCCCAAAATTTAATGAGAAAGCCAAAAGCAACCAAGACAATTCTCCAGTATCATCTCCCAAAGATACTTAATGGAGTGTGCTATAATTTATTTTCTTCCACTTCACTCATCCTTTTCATTCATTTAATTTTGTCTTTTTCTTTAGAAAAGTCACCGTTGTCTATTATCCCACTTGGTATGAAACCCCAGCTTACTGTAACTCTCTATGAATTTGCACTCCAGCTCTCTCAGGCTAGTCAGATTTGGGCTTTAGGACCAGGACAAAGCTACAGGTTTCCCTAATTAAACCTCCCCTCAATTATCCTTCTCAGGAAAACCTTCAGTATGTCAGGAGCAATGCCCTCCCAAAGATGACCCCTGCTGTCCTCACTTGTACTTGGTCACTAGGGACTGGTGTTAAAGTACCTGTCACTGCAGGTATCAGTTGAGAAGTGCCCGTGGATGTCCCAACTGAATGCCTGAAGTAAGATTCCAGGGATGGACACTTCCAAGAATGCACTTCGCAGTAGGGTCTTTTGCTCAGAAAAACACTTGGGAGATGAATCAAAGAATGGCTTGGGTTGGGAGGGACTTTCAAAGGTCATCTAGTCCTATTTCTCTACAATGAGCAGGAACATCTTCAACCAGACCAGGCTGCTCCGAGCCCTGTTCAACCTGACCTTGAACACTTTCAGGGATGGGGCATCTACTACCTAATCTAAATCTACCCTCTTCTGGTTTAAAATCATGCTTGCTACATGATACCTATGTACCAATTGGTCACTTAGGCACTTGGAAAATAAATATTAACACATAAAATGTGTTTCAACTAGATCAGGTTGGTCAGAGTCCCACCTAATCTGGCCTTGAATGTTTCCAGGGACAGGACATCCTGTCTCAGGACTGTTGGTTCCACTAGCTAAAGGTCTCCAGTAAACCCCATTCTCCTTTCCACAGCCCTCCTTCCCTCTCCTTTACTACCCTTTCTCATCTCGACAGTCTTTCCCTCTCCCACTTAATCACAACCTCTAATTTCTCTGGCTTTGGAAATTTCTTCAAGCTGAAAGACTCTGTGGCCTGAAATTACAGATCACCTCTTGATTTGCTCTGCTTGTAACCATCACCTAACCCTCACTGTTCCTCAGCCTTTTATGTTTGTTGACTAAAAATCGTCACAGAATGAACGTTATTGATTTTGTAGCTAAACAGAAGCTCTTGATTAAATTCACAACTTTTGGCAGGGGTGGAGGAGAAAGTGCAGGCAAGGACAACACTTTCCATAAAGGAAAGCTTCTGAACTGAAACTGGGAGCTTGACTTGCTGTCAGTATCCCTTGGATAGTGTTTAAGACTACTGCTCTATAATCTAAAAGAGCAGTATTTTCTCTGTATTTCCAGCAAGCAAGGTTGAACATGACTGCACACCAGGAACAACAGATTCCACTGTGGGCCATGCCAAATAACTCACCAGAGTACAGGGTTTCAGCCAGCAGATGTGCCTGCTGTTCTGAACAATTGGCCACATAGGGGTTTTTTTGACTTATGGGTCTTAAAATTTAAGGTTTTCAAGCCTATTAACCAAGCAGGGGAAAAAAAAAATCAACATTTTTATATTCTGAAGTCCGAAAAACTGAGTAGTCTCAAAACACACTAACATCAACATTTCTTAATTCAGTATTTTCAACGTTCACTGGATACTTCTTTTTAGATACACTCGAACAACAACATTAACCAGCCTTGGCACGTAGTCTCACTGCTGCAGGCTTCTAAGGAGGGCAGGCCAGTAACACTGAGCAATACTCAGTGACTGGATACGCTTCATGGAACAAAGCTGCTCAGATAACTGCTCATTTCTTGCATGCTAAGAAAATCCTCATCAATCAGTGACAATCTCTGTCAATGCGTCTGCAAGGAGAAGTTATTTTACCGTTACGCCGCGTTTGTCACCAATGCTGGTAACATCTAATGAAAATCTGGACAGCTCCTTCCCCTGCCAAATGGCATTCTTGTAAACAAGGTGCCATACTGCTCAAAAAAGTTATTTATTAATGAAAAACATACCACAAAGGTCTACGGACAGCATCACAGCACTTATTCCAGGGAATTAAAACAAATAAACTTAAACTATCAGGTAGTTTTGAGAAAAGCTGCCTACAGTGGAATTGATTAAAAAGACAAGGAGAGAAATGAGGAAAAATTAAGTCCTTATTATGAATCATGCCTAGCTCTGTGGCAAACACAGCTGGAAAGGGGACAGGCCTTCGTGCTGATTTTTTTGGCTCTTCCCACAATACTAGCTGTATTTTCCTAAACTTTACAGTAACAGAAACACACCTATAGTCCACAACACAGAGATTTTAAATTCCTTGTTAATGGTCTGATGCTTTTTTCTCCCTCAGTGAAAGCATTTAGAGAAGGATCATCAGCTGACTCAAGTCTAATTGTTAGAAGCCAACAGAACTGCACTGATTTATATTCCAAGCAGCTCAAACCCCCAAAGCTTAACTGTCCTACTGCTCAGTTGACAAAGTTGGGAAACAAAAGCCTACTGCAAGTCTTTTGGATTCCAATCCTTTTTTGTAAAACATATTATTAGTGAGGCTTATTTTTCTGAGATATACCAGTGAAAGGAAGTTTCATCTGCTATTGTACATTCCTTTCCCGTAATTTTTTCAATTCCTACATTCAACAACAATGAGATCTAATAATTTTTTAACAGCATTTTAAGTTCATTTAAAAAACTCTATCGTAACTGGCAATGTTCATTTGCATACATTAAAAGACTTTTTTTTTTTTGCCACTGTGGTGTATTAATCACTGACAAAATAGGTTTAAAAGTGGGGATGAAAAGGGGAAAATAATTACCTGTCAGTACAGAGATCTAGACACATGTGCAGTTCACAGACCATAATTTTATTCAAGGCTACAAAAGCTTTTTCTCCTCATCACAGAGGCAGCCTTAAACTCTTCTGCTCCTAGCTAGCACAAGAGAGAGGATTCATTTAAACTAACACAGGTTAAGAAAGGTTTCGGAAAACCTCTTAAAGCCACACTCTCTTCCACCACAAAACAGCTCTGAAGTGGCTCAGGCAGATGAGCCCAAAGAACAGACTGTCTGGAAGTCACATGTCCTCAGCTTAAAGGAAATTTAGTTCTTATCCTGGACCATGTTCTCATTTAGTGAGGAGAAGTCTGACAAGTAGAAAAAAGCAGAGCAGGAACAAACATAAATGGAGCCTCTTGTGAATGGCTGCAGTGTACTGTATGAAATAAATAAAGGAGAGGCTCCAGAGGAATCATCTGGCTGTAAACTAAGCAACTCTTCGCTGACCTCACTAGTCACTGATTGCATGGTATAGTTTCATCCATTCATTCAAGCAGTAAGAAAGAAATATGTAACTAACCTGTTAATATCCCCAAGTGTTGTGCACTGAACCCTGAAACAAAGACTCCCAAAGTAGATATCCACTCAACCAAGACGGAAGGTGTTTAATTAAAAGCTAATCTTGAAATTAGGGAGGTGTGAATTACTTGGTGAGTTACTGGAGATCATGTTGTTACTAATCTCACAAGCCAATGCTTGTGAGGTGGCCAATGCTCAGAGAGGCTCGAGCATCTGAAAGTCATGAAGGACCCACAGCTCAGGTTCATTAGAGTGGAAGGCTGTAAAATTGCCCTGTCCCCACTGGATCCTTCACAAGCAGTAGCTGACACTTTCCCCTTTGGGCCTCATCCCTGCACAAAATTTTCCAGGAGCTAATTTAAGTGGAACAATCAGTCTGGAAAATGGCATTTAAGCACTGTGCAGTGCCAAGGTCATGCAAGTGACAGGTGAGACAAACTGCAGTGTGATGGGAACTTCCACCTGATGCTTGCCATGATCACCATCAAAACCACTTCTGCACCTCCAGCAATCTTACAGAAAGAAGAGAAAATATTCCATAAAAGAGATTCTTTTCTGCCATTAATATCCCCTACTTCTTAAGAGCTGTAGAGGAGTTTAAGGAGGGAAATCCCCATCAGTGGTCCTTCAAACCTGGAGAGGCACCACTGTGGCTTTCTTTTGCTGAGGGCTGGGAGGAAAGTGTGTTGCAGTGCCTGAGGCTATTTGTGTCTGATGTGCTTTAAAAAAAAAAAAAAAAAGAAAGCAAAATTAGATAAGAGGTGCTTGGCAGAGAAGTAGAATAGCAAAGAGAAACTACTGCTTCTGCCCATGCTGACAACCCTGAGTTTTGCCTTGCCTTGCCCTCCAGCCTTCACTGTTGGGAATAATGAAAATCTGGTGGTGACAGAATAAATTGCTACAACTCAGAGAACAGTGGAAGAAGCTCTTTGTCCTTGTAGCTCATCTAGCCTCACCACAGGTTCCCTGCTCAAGGACTACAGACAAGGCCATTTGAATCACTGCATTGTTCACAACTCTCCTTCTGAAACTGCAACTCTTTTCCAGTATGGACTAGTTCAGCCTCCTTGCTACCATCCAGTGATGAGCATTTTGCATAACCTCAGACAACTGAGGATACGCTTCAATTTGCCTCTCAATTTGAAACTGAAGTGATGGCAACAAGAAACTGTTTGTGAAGAGCAGTCTAAATGGCTTACAGCAACATCCCGCAGGTTGGAAGAATTGGCTGATAGCAGTTATTGCCTCCTTCATGATACAAGCACTGAATCACTCTCCTACTCTGCCTTTGAAATCCAAAACTAGCAAGTATAAAGCTCAAGCAGCTCCTCCCTAGTTCTGTCTGAGGCCCTTGATCTCACTGATTCTATTCCAAATGGGTCATGTTAATGCTGCTCTTACACGATGATTTTAGCACCTGTCCCCAAAGACTCCTTATTAAAAGCGATTCAACCAAGAGAAAGAAATTTCATCCTCCTAAATTAATTTTCTTTTTCTTCCTTATAAATTAAAAAGGCAATCAGAAATGATTACTCTGAATATGAGCTCAGAGAAAGCAGTCTTTAGCAAATTACACCTTAGGCTAATTTTATGGTCGTAGGTATGGCAGTGCATTGCATCTCAACAGTTTTAAAGCTGTCATCAAGGCCAGAGACAAAGGCCTTCCCTCTCAGACCAAGATACACCTAGTGCAAGAGGCAGGTTTGCATCACTTCCTGAGACACTGCAACCCAAGAAGTCCACTCAAAATACATGAGGCGACTGCTGAATAGTAAAAACCATTATTGTTCTTCCCACCACTGGGAAAAAACCATAAATCTGCATAAATTAGCCACAGACTGGAAGTTTACTCTAACAGAGAGATGAAAAGAAGTTCTGGATCATTTGTAAATAATGAGGTTATAGCCCAAACTTCACAAGGCCTCCAACTGAGTGTCATCCCCCAGAGCAGCCAGGCATCTGTGACTGATGGTTTCTGTGGTTTCTCAAAATTGGGGAAGAGTTAATCTTCTATGGTTAAAAGCACCACTACATTCATGACACATATTCATCCAGCAAGTCTGCAGAGCTGAACAATTACGCAAAAGACTTCCTTGGAAGGAAAACTATCTGGACAAACTTCCAACTCCCCAACATCACAGATAGAGATATCCTGCCATACTGATGTTAAAGTCTTCTGGGGAGCAAAACAGGGGATGCCTTCATTAATAATCAAGCTCGAATTAACCACATCTGTACAGAGGGACACTCGACTAATAGATGATTAGGCAAAAGTGCTTACAGGTGTTGACCTAATGCTGCGAACACAACACTGATCGCACAGCACAGACACGCACAGCTCTCCTTAGAGGATTGCAAATCCCTAATCAACGAGAGTTCACACACTGGATAGAAACTCCTTATGGATCGCGGAATTTTAATTGGGTTTTTTTTCTAGAGCTTGCTCTGTATCTTGCAACCCTACCATAAAGAGAGCTGCTCTCTTTCTTTACTAGGTTACAGACATGTTTTTCCAACCTCAAGCAGCCAAATTTACCTGGAGAGATGACTCATTAGGTCAGGGAGATGAGTTACACAGGCAATGGCAACACTTTCTGGTATGAGTCAGGGAGAAGAAAATGCTTTACCGTATGGTCTGTAAGAGGAGGCAGCACAATCAGCTTCTCCATGGTATTCATTACCACCCTCCAGAGCTCCTTCAGCACCCGCTTCAACACTGTCTTTTCACACACTGTTGCAAACAGAGTCAGGCTGCAGGGAGAGAGCAGGAACTGAGTAAGTTCAAAGAGTGCAATATGAAATGACAGAGGAGATGTATATGAAAGAACCAGTGCCTTATCCAAAGTTATAACGATTGCTTTAAGGGTCTCCCTTTTTCACAAAGTATAGCCTTTGCTCAACCTTGGAGTTCTAGCACTAGATACAATGGCCAAAATGGATTACTGATATTTCTGAACTCAGTGATTTCTGTTTCTTGACCTGGGGATTACAGAAGGTATCATCTGGTAATAGGTGGTTGGGAATAATATATATAATCCAAATAAGAGCAGGTACCATCAAACAGGTTTCCCTTAAAAAGATGTATCAGGTTTATAGAGAATACAGGAAAAAATTATAAATACAGAATAATAAGTTTTAACTTCAAGCTGTTATTATAAGGATATATGTTGAAAGACGCGCTTGCAACAAACGTGAGTAGAGCCCTTCCCAAATCTTCGTTCGCGAAGCCCAGCCATGATGATGATGTTGAAAGCCTTAAATTAGTACTTCCCAGAGTGTTACGCAGAAATTCCTGTACGGCTTCTGATAGCTGCTCAAGTCTCCAAATCTTTAACCTCTACAACTCCCCTGAAGCATTACTTGGACTCCTCCACATTTCGTTATGATTGCATTCAACACCAATCAACTGCCATATGTTTGTCTGCTCTAACATAAAGAAGTTCTGCTTTATCTCCCTAGTTTTTCTCCCTTTATTATTGTACAGGCTATCAAAAAGGCCACAAAGCACTAGAATTCCTTTGCTGGACTTCGGCATTTACTGATCAAACTAAGAGAGCTACAGAACAGGAACTCTGTGGCCAGTAGCAGGGCACAGGTGACAGCTGGCTCTTCTACAGTGTGTAACATCTTCTCCCAATTTCCCTTCTTCCTACAGCTGGTTAGACAGTAAATGAACAAAAACAAACAGGGACAAGACTGATGCGGGGGGGATGCAGTAAGTATCAAAAAATACTCTCCTTCTGTAAAGGAGGAAAGAAAATAATCCAGGCTTGGATTATCATAATTAAAATTACTTGCTCCACAGCTGGATGACAAGCCTGAGGAATAACAAGTTCCCAGCGGCACAAAGGAGTCTGGTTTCTCAGGATTCATGAAGGCATGCATGGAAAATGCTTAAATGAGAAAGCTCCTAGATGTAATGACTGCTGCAGAAAGTCACTTAGCACACAGTGACCCAAAGCAAAGATGGGATAATCAACACTAAGAGCAACCAAACCCCCTATATTTTAAACTTGCAAAGCTTCACATCTCTTGAAGCATTTATTATGAAAACTGATGGCCACTCCTTTCAAAATAAAGAACTACTGTGCATCAGCAAGAGATTTAACTTCTACAATTATTAAAAACTATTTCTCTTTGTAATTCAAGGCTTGGCTGACAAAAATTATGTCCAGTCAGCCCCATTTAGCTGTCCTCGTACAGCTGAATCATGCTGCATGGTATTAATGGCAACAGTTAATGAAAGCAATGGCTCAAGCTTATGCAATCAGATAGTTTAGAAGCTTATTTGCTAGTCAGAACAGAACCGGGTATGACCAGAACACACATGCTTAACACAACTGGGATACTGAGTAGTACATGTATCAACTATGTAAGCACTATTTTCAATTTGTTTGCTAATTGGTTACAGTACAATTCCTATAGGAAAAAAAAGCATAGTTACATAATTTAGAATTTCAGACTTTTCCACTACCTGATCAGTAGCGTGTTTTGCTGATTGTTTTAATTGCCAGAGGTAGAAAAAAGAATTGAGAATGTGCTCTGGCACGGAATGAGGGCTGAAGAGGCTATCCATGGCTTGTGAGAAGCAGATATGGGAAGAAAAGCTATTAATTCTTCTTGAAAATTTGGAGACCAGACACCTCAAGAACAATACAAGAATACAGAGCTATTTTCCTCTCTGCTCCATTCCTGTTCCAATCCAATAAGCTGTATGTGTAGCATATGTTTGAACACTCCCTTACTTTCCATCCAGGAAATCCATCAATGGCCTCAGGACATTATCTGCATCTTGTGCAACTGTGTTTCTGGCATTAGCAGCAGAATTTGCTGTCCCTTTCACCTGACAGAGGATATCAGACATTTGCTTGACGCACTCATCAATACGAGTCTGAAAGCTGAACAGATAGGAGAGAGGCAAAAACAAGATTATCAGTGGCAGAGATACAAGATAAAATATTGCAAGTTCATAAACCATGCACTCAGTTACTCTTCCTTTATGAGACTTGCTGCTCTTTTCTTTACTGCATTTATTACCAAGGGGCATGTTCTCCAGTTCCTTATGCCCACCACCCACACACAGCTGATCACCTCTGAATACGAGACACAATCACATTTGAGAAGAGTTTCTTCATTCATCTTACAGAAAGAAATTACCCTTTCCTGATTTCAAGAAACACTGTTATTCTTAGCTCAAAGCACCCTGCTGTATCCTTGCTTTCTCCATTTTTCTGCAATGACACAATGCATGCACAACTCTGAGCACCCAGGAGTCCATCAGCAGAAATCTGGTTATGACCCATCATAGGCTAAGTATTTAAAATAACAGAGACAGCTTGAAGGCAGGCACCAACTTAAACCAGTTCACTGCCATACAGTCCATGCCAAGTGTCATACTGGGATGTGGGGCTCAGCTGTGCAATGAGCAGTGTCCCTGTAATGAAGTGACACACAAGGCATTAAAGCACAATTACTTTTCCATCTCTTCCTGCTAAGAGGAGGTTCAAAATTAAATAATGCAATGATTAAAAATTATGAATAGATCAGCAGAGCTGACAACAAATCAATTCAGCAAATAAAGGAAAATGCTCTGACATTTAAAAGAACAGTTAGTAACAACAGGCACTACAAGTGACATTTAACTATCCACTAATGGCACAGGGGCTTGAAACCAGGGAGATAAGCCAGTGTTAGGAGCTAGGGTAAAGTTTTAAGAGCAGGGACACTAATCTGGAAGTCAGCTTTACATCTGCATAAACGACCTGAACTTCTGGTGTGCGAGCCACCCAGGACACCCGTGGGTTGGGTGCTACTGTACAACTGCTCTGCCCCGTGGCTCTCACCTTCCTTCTCCATCTGGCCACCTTTACTGCACTGCCACCTCCAGCCTCTCAGTCCCTTTTGCTCACTTCTAGCCTGCCTCTCACTGGAACAATTCCACAGCTTTCCTTCCGTGAAGCCTCCCGCCTTCCCCATTTCTAGCAGAAAGAGGTTTGCAGCAGTCAGTTGTGGCTACACTGTCAGCTTAACCAGAGACTTAAATCACATCAAAGGAAAGAGCATAAAAAAATTTCCTGTACTGCTGACAGTTCCTGTTCTGCCACAGGCTAATCCCACCCCACAGTTCTCCCAAATACTGCATCAGCTGCAGGGCCCCACTTCAAGATGCTTTAAACCTCCCAGCCAGGGATAAAAAATAACAATGCCTTAAAAGATAAAAAATGAGCTAAAACTGTTACTAATTCTATGAAAAATAATAAATCAGTTACTGTGGCAACAGGTTCACCTGAAAGTGAAGCTTGTGTAGATGTACAGCTTGACAGGAGTCCTTGGCAGCAGCAAGCTAACAAATGACCTCACCTATGCTGTCTGACAGGGCCTGATGCTCGCTAATTCCTGCAGGAATTCCCTTCTTCAATCCTTCAGCCTCCAGGGACAGAACAACAGCTAGCCTTGCATGAATATAAACCCCTCCAAGACTCCTGTTCTCTATGATATCTCTTAAAGCAGAAAGTACTTCTGTGTCCAGACAAAATCCTCTCTCAGCTCAAAGGTGGTGAGGTTCCCTGGACACGTGCTGCCTTCTCAGCAAATGCAATTATATCACACAGGTGAGGAGGAGTTCAGATCCGCAGCATCAGGTGTTCACAGTGTTGTAGGAGCAACTGCTTACAGACTCTGCACAGAATATTGCAGATATCTGTCTTACCTTCTAAGTTTACATCCTTTAGAAGATTCTGCTTATACAGTAAAACTGCAGCTCTGCTTTTCGCTCCCTGCTACTGTTAAGGAATGAACAAAGCATCTGAGCCATCTGATTGGCTAAATCTCTTCCTGGTTCATCTCTCTAAAACACTTCCCAGTAACTATGCTGATACTGGTAATCTCTTTAAATCATATTTGCAAATATTAAGATTGTTTTGTAGCAGCAACACCATGGAGGCAATACTCAGATTAAAAAAAAAAAAAATCACCCTCCTAATTATGATTTCTCACTCACCCTCCATCTAGTTATGAACCTTATTGATTCAATTCAGTTACAGTTTGAGTCTCTCCATTTCTTGGTACAGTATCCATTACTGGCATTGGGAACTCCTCACTTATCTCCCTGCTTAGCTCTCTGTGCTGAAATCCAAACAGTCATTGAAAAATCCCACTATGATTTTTTAGTCATAAATACTCCAAATCTGTAGAACCCAGGAGGCCAAGTTGGTACAATTTGTTTTGCCTTGCCCATATCCAACCTACACTATGGTTTATGCCTGCATTAATCCTGTTATGGAGCACAATATGAAATGAATGGGGTTTGTAATGAGAAGTGGTTGTTTCTAAAGATCAGTTAGGAGTTCTGCATTTTTAGATTTTCCTTAATTGACATCTTTTATGGTTCACTACAAAATTATTATAAAGCTGAGCACACTCTTATCCTCAGGTAAATGGTAACATGATTTGTAATAAAACTTAATTGCTATCAATTACTCTGGCAATATTTTAGAGAGCTCCTCTCCTTGAAACATTAGAAAACACCATTTGCTGCAGCATTAGAACAAGTCAATCTCAAATTCCAGACCTGTTTCCTTCTTATCCCAATATTCATTTAACAATCAGAAATCAGTCAGCTGTTTCATACATTTAGAGCAGAACGTTTAAACATGAATGTTATTTCATAAACGCTAAGCTGGAAACTGCTTTCTGAGCAGTAAAGGAGCAGGCAATTCTGTTACTGACAAGCACTACTTACAGAAAAAAATAAAAATAAAAAAAAAATCACTCTATGTGAGTCAAATACATTTCACAGTTGAGAGATCTCCGTGTTACATTTTCCAAGCAGAGTAATACAGAAGAGAAAGACTTTAAAAATATTTCTCACTTCTTTAGATGGTCTCACTATTTGAAAGGCAATGAATTTAGGACAAAAAGAAAAATATAATGCAGTTCACAGGAGTTTCTCTTCTCTTCTTAACCTGACTGAATGAGATTAGACAAAAGAAAGGAATGCTTCAAGGACAAGGACCTTGTAATACTCACCTGTTACCAAACACTGCACTCAGCTCATCCAAAACATTGTTCAGCTTCACCTGGAGCTCTTTGAGATGGTCACTTGCTTCTGCATCCAACTGTAGATGAAAAAGAGCATTTAGTTTGAACCCAGAGGGCAGTCTGCTGTCCTTTGCAGTGCTTCTCTTCACTGTTGAGGCTATACTTAATAAGCAGGTGAACTATCCCCACTGGACTCTGCCAGCTAGGATGCTCTCCTCCACTGCCTACTGCTGCTACAGAAGCTGTGAAATTATCAACAGATATTTGCCTAAAAAGCAGCAAGTGATTTCCCCAGGCTCCAATACCCTTCAATGCCCTTCCTGAGGTTTGTAAAGTTGAGAAATAAAGTGCATGTGAACTCCCTGTGGCCAAGAGTGTAACTAGGCAGAGAAATCAAGTACTGTGCAGTATCTTCAGCTCATGGGTCATTTCACCCCTTTAAGTTTAGAATGAGACAGGGTTTTTCACATTGGTTTCTATTTACTTGTGTATGATCTTGAAAGAAGCTGTTTCACCTTCCACCCTGCTGCCAAGTATTCCAGCTGAAGACTGACCCAGCCTCTGCTCTCAGAAGGTTGGACCCCAGAGATTTTGAAAATCTGGCCACAACATAATGGCAGCAGCTGCTGTGCACTCATCGCTTTTGGAAAGCATGATCTCAGCTTTAGGTATTGAGCAAATGTGTCTCTGCTCTCACATGGAGCCAGACAGCTTTTTGTATGCAAGTGCTCAGAGAAGACTTCAGAAAACAAAAACAAAAATAAAGTGCCCCAAGCACTACATGAATGCTGTCAACACCTTGGCAGGTTCTGTAAGAAAGTACTTCCTCCATTATTATCAGCACAAAGCCACCTGTTTTTACATGGAACAGTGCCCTGTATTCCAGCTGTAGTCATCCCTCCAGCATCAAAAGAACCACTTCTGAGCAACCTACCTGTGTGTACACCCAACAACAAATGATGAATGCTTTGGGATCACTTGCTCTGAAAAAGTAACTTGTAAAACAGATTTGCCTTTGTATGCAGGCAGGCAAGATGTTTGTAAAATAAAAAAGCTCACAGAAATGTTTGTGTTTGGCATTCAGAACTTCAGCTCTTACCCCTTAGGCAGAGCATCTATTTACAGATGTAATGAGCCAGGTACCAGTACAGTGGTATAAATCAGTTTAGATTTTTACAGCATATCCATCTATATAGGATTTGCACACAATGGGAGTTCCCATTTCTAAATTCAGTGCCGAAGCCCTTTTCATGTTTCTCAGCATCTGTCAGAGAAAGCCAAGCCTTAGGGGATTTGGAATCTGATCTGTTCACTTTCCTGTTGTAAGCTGGCATGGAAAATTGACTCTATTACACATTTGAACCTGTGCTAATGAAACTCCTGGATCAGAATTTTAAAAGTAATTAAACTAAGAACCAGCGACCAAGCAAATGATGATTACTTAGGCCTTATAATTTTAAGCATTGCTACCTCTGATTATTTTTCCTTTATTAAAGTGATTTGGTTTTCCTATTATCTTTCTAACACCCTTGCTCCGTGACGGCAGAAGGAAGCTAATGTCATGCCAATCAGCATTCATTCTAGCCAAGCTTGTAGGTAACAAAACAAAAACAGCATCTGGTGGCGGTGGCTTCTCTTGCCCCTACATTAATCCTTCCCTCCCACGGCCCAAAGGCACAATGAGTCACAAGCTGTCTGATTTGCTATCTACAATTAATGGCATAGAACTGTCCCCTGATTTTGGCCATTTCTGACAGACTTGAGGTAGAACCAGTTCAAGACTCATCAAAACATTCCAACTGCTTTTCCAGTTGGAAAAAAAAAAAAAAAAGCCAGAAGAATTTGGCACAAGACACCTGTTCTTCACAATTTACTTCTTATAAGTTACCAGATGCACAGTCTAGAGGATGTCTGAGGTCAGGATGAACAGCTTATTGCCGTGGTTCATGATTTATTTTCCTGTGAGGTGGCATGGAGTTATCTAAGCTTCCCCTTGCTATTGTACTCGTTGACTGCAAACTGATCTTCCTCAGAGCAGAAAACAGCTGATTGCTATCCCAGTACTGCGAGAAGAGACAGCTGGAACAATGCTTTGCCAAGGGGATGAGCTCCATTATCTGTGGTAAGGAACTCTCATTCCTCCAAAATATCAGCTCACAGCTCTCTGGGTGCATCTGGCAAGACAGTTGCCCAGATTTAACTTAGAGGTGCCCAGCCTCACCCTCAGGAAGCCAAACCCTGGTGGGTAAGCATTCTGGTTCAGTATCCACCAAGTCCTCTGCCATCCTAGAAAAGCTGTTGTCCTCTGAGCAACTGCTACTGTGGAGGAGTCCACATAATACACATTACATAAATGCTTAGGCTGTGGAATGCTTTGGCTTTAGGAATCAAATTTCAGGGAATTACCTGAGTGTGATTTAAGTCCATTAGCAAGGGGCTGGTAGGTATGTACTACTGTTTCACAAATATAAATTACATGTTAGCTACAAAGTAGTGTAGCATGTGGTATAACTGCAAACTATTCTTTGCCAATGTGGTGAAGCACTGATAACAGTGCTCAAATGAACCAGCATTGGTATTGCTGCTGCTGCTCAGCAATGAATTCTAAGCATATCAGCTATCACTGATAGCAGGAATTGCTACTTGGACTGCATGATAAATCTGGCTGGTAAAGCAGAAAGCAGTGTTAGGCAGCTGGGTCACTGCCACATGTCACATCCACACCATTTTTGTGAGAAGCTGGAGCTGAGCAGGCTTATGATCTCCTTTCTGTGGGTGTATCAGAGATAATTCAGAGGAAGAATGAAAAGTTCCTTGTGCAAAAAAAGGGACAGTACCCACAGTGAGGTGGCTTTTGATCTCTGAGCCAGTGTTTCAATTCCAGTCAAATTTGTGTATTTGAGACTAAATGTATGACACTGAAAACTGAGGTTCAAAGAAAGAAAAGCTAACCCTGTACTTAAATTTCAGGGAGGAAATCAGGGCTCTGTTAATTTTCTGCAAAGATCTGGGACTTGGTACTTCAGAGAACCTGGGCCCCAAAGTCTCATCCAAGCCTATTTAGGGCTGAAACCTCAGTTCATCTGAGTGGTGGCATTTACAGCACGGGGTTATCAATTTGAATTTAGGCTGATCTCCTGCTTCTCTCATGCATGAAACAGAAGCCTTGAGTCTAAGAATTTGCTGTGATGGGCTTCCAAGTTTTCCAAGAGATGCCATTAGTTCTCCTTTGGTTTCTACACTCACTGGTGAAGTGCGAGTGACCAGAACTGAAAGGCTTCTCGGTAGCTGGTGTACGTGGACAGACACGGCTCTTGCCTTCTCAAAGGCTGAAGATGTTAATCAATTCACACTGTGAAATCATCGGGTCTGACCTGACCTATCAGCAGGTAAAGAATTATGCCCTGCTAACTTATTTTAGCTTTATGCAAGTTATGGAGTACATCTGACTCCGGTTTGAAGCTGCTGATTTTTGCTCTGCCTCCCTCCACCAGCCCCTGGGAGCTCCACTCTGCAGAGGTAACTGTGAGGCAGGGAGCTCACCAGGTCCAACCCCCTTTTAGGGACCTGCACCGAATCCAAACAACAGCTGCCAACTTCACAAATACTGGGGTGGCCTTAGCTATGGCATGTGGGAAGCTAAAGAGGAGCAAACAGTGGATACTGCAAATCCTCTGAGAACACTGCTATTAAATCTTGGCTGTTTCTAAGCCGTCCTGCAATTTGTTATTCAGGTGGCTAACTTAGGATTTAAAATGTGGGCTAACTCTGGCTAAGCCTTAAGAGGAGAGTTTCCTGAAGCTTTAATTGTGCAGATTAGCTTGAAACCGAAGGCATGAAAATTGTGTGATGACAATATGTGGCTACTCAGCAGCTAATTCCTTGGGTTTCCCAGGCAGTGCTTGTCTCTGATACTCACCTCACATGCTTGACTTTGGGGAAAAAAGGTGTAGAAATGTTTTAAACTAGTCTTTCACAGTACATCTAGACTCCAGCAGTATGCAATGCAGTACCACGCCTTTTAATTTCAGTGGCATGAGTTCATTACTCATGAAAAGCTAAGCAAAATAATGGACTGCAGGCTGAACTCTGCTGGAAAACTGCAGAGGTGGGTTGAAAATGCAGGACACATTAGGTTTTATTAGATAATGTATGAATAATTAAATAAATGGGCCAAGTTCAGGCAAACACTAGCACTGAATATATGTAGCCCACTTTAGCACAGAGGTAAATTATTATCTCCATTCTGTGGGTGTACTGGAGATGATTAAGATGAATCAAAGGTTTCAAAAGATGTATCCAGTTTTTGTCCAGGACTCACCCCTCAATTCCACTGTTCATTATGCTTTTAATGCTATCTGCCACTCCATAAACACTGCCTTTCCAAAACATGCTTTAGGGATGTCTGAGAATGTTCCTGAGTCATGGTGACACTGTTTTGATCCCATGAGATCAACACAGCGGAAAAGGGAAATGCAAGTATTAATTATAATTCCCCAAAATAATTTAAGATACTTTTCTCTGTGTATGCACATATGCACGTGTGTGCGTAAATATATTTGCTTTGAGTTCTCAAGCACAGACCCAAGAGAATCCCTCCACACAGAGCTCTCTAAAGCTTTGCTGTTGTCCTTATTGTTTCTGACTAATAATGTTCACAGATCACATGATGTCAACACATTAAACCAGAGATGTTGGGCAATTTTCCCCCTGTTTTGTACCCTCTGAGCACTACAGTTGAAAAAAGAATAAGAGAAGTGAAGGGAAAAGGTACCATAACCATTGGGGGCAGGGGGTGGAGAAGGGAGTAAATAAATAGTACTGGGCTCTTCTGTTCCATGTTATGCCACTACACTGCAGGGTGAGTATGAATGAGCCCTGTCCCTTCATTTCCCTTGCTGCAAAACGGAGTAAGTTATATGGATTTCTGTTAGTGCAGGTTGTGGACCCACTGGAAAAGAGCACTAGGTAGCAGCAATATTTCAAAGCTTTCCAGAGTTGTGCAGTGCTACAGCTGTAGCTGGAGATGGATCTGTGAACTGGAAGCAGATGAAGCCACACATAAACTGAAACCAGTCCCCCAGGTCTAGCTGCACACATGGTACACCTGGCATATCTGCCAGAGCAACAATGGAATATTTGGTACCTAGCTCTCAAAAACACTTTTGAGAACACAGAAAGTTGAACAGTTCAAGATCAGGACATACAACTATGCTACTTTCTTACTCCCCCAAGAAAGCAGATCCTTTTTGGATAGAGTAGTCAGGATAAGGTTTAGTTTTGTGCAAGCTACTATCTGACGTATAGATCAATATAAAAGAGATCTGCCATAGCAAGTAAAAACTGTCCTTTCTGAAGGAGGATAAAACCCACAGATACATTTTCCATAAAGTTCTGTTTTCAAAGCTATTGTCTCACCAATTGTTACCCAGTAGTCAGGTTCAATCTGCATCAGAAAGACTACTCGAACTAGGACAAAACCTTGTTTACTCTAGCAAAACAGAGAACCTGCAGGTTTCAAGTCAAGAAGCAAATGTTCTACATAGTCACCAAGCGGGAAACCCCTGGGGACAGCAAATAATGCAGGCACCTAACACAACACGATTTATTTCTGGTGATCAGCAGCAGCCCCATGAAGAGCAATAAGCATCATCTGAGAAGAAAAGAAAAAATCACTTCCAAAAACCAGCTTCCTAGCATGTTTGTCACATTTCTTCCTGTGTATTTTATTGCTCATTGTCTGGATTTCTCTCCCCTTTTTTTTCTTTCGATTCCACAGCACAGGGGAAATAGTGGATTCATTACCTCTGTTTTACTTTACTTACATCTCCCGAGGAAGGTTTTAAAGGGCAGAATGCAGAGAAGAAGTCTAGGAAAAGCAGCCAACAGTTTCAAGAAACACATGTTATTCTCCACTTATTTAATACAGTATCAGGGAATATTTTCAATTTGAACTATAGGAAACCCCTAGTTAATGGCTACCACTACAGAAAATAGCAGCTAATTGCTTCCTTAAGGGAAATTAAATGCACAGGTATTAAAATTTTATAAGCCACTTCACAAACATTTCATCACAAGTTTATTTTTTTTCCAAAAATGAGCATTTAGCTACTGCTGCTATTACAGCTGGGACCATATAATGCTAGTTCTTGATGTAGGGCTCAGAAATTAGTATTGTTGAGGTGACATGTGAAAGAATGACAGCAGTTTTCCTTGCCTCATGGGGCAAATCAACTTGTCGAGATTTTTGCCACTTCATAGAATTCTGCCGCTGAGCACAAGAAAGATTTGGAAAAGCAATACAGGCAAAAACTAAGCTGTCCATCAGCAAAGCTGACTCTCCTCTTGGCATACAGGTCATAGCACAGGCTCTATCACAACACAACCAAAGTAAATGCACTTGAAAATAATTTTTTCCTAACATCAGCATCAGCAGGCTTTTCTTCATCTTCCTGAATCTTGAAAAGCAGTGAAAAAAGAAGAGAAAAAAAAGATACATAGATTATATGAGAACAGAAATAGTGATCTGGGGGAATAAAACATTATTTCTGTAAAACTGAACATCTCATAAAAAACAGGCACATCTGAGTATCCCTCAAAACATGAGTACAGAACTCTTATTTGCATGTCTCTAATGTACTGGATTTTGAACATCTCATGCTAAAGGTACTGTGCCACAATTGTATGCCATATAAAATGATTCAACTGTCAACAGTTCTCAGACTTCTCTGTCTTCAGAGTTGAGAAACCACCAGCCATGTCCACATCCAGCTCACATGAGCATGACATGCAACCTTCTCTTTCCTTCTCCATGTTATTCCGTGCTTCAAAATATTTGCTCCTGCTTTTTAGGACAGCTATAGTTGAAAAGTCTTTAGCTACTGCTGTCTCCTCACACTTACAGTGCCAGCTGCCACAAGGCTCTTCTCATGACTGCAGGCCTCAAGAACCATTATGATGCACATACCCTAGTAACAACAGTGCAGCAGGAATGAGCAACACAGTCTCTGAGCTCTCTTACCTCTTTACCACCCATGGCTTCAAACATCTTCTCTAGCTGCACCCGCAGCTGTTGGATGTTATTCATCAGGATGCAGGGCTGCAGGGACAAAAGCAAGTGCCTGTTACTGCTCAGGATGCCAACACATTGTCACCAGTGAGAGACCTTGTGCCTCAATACCCTTCCTCAAGTACCACCAGATCAGAGAGTCAAACAGGAGGTAGGGCACGCACAGATTTCAGCACTCAAACATTAAAAAAAACCCCAAGTCGTTTTTTCTTCAGCTTGAAATGGGATGGTCAGTTCCAGAACACCCAGACAGAAGATCTCTGCAAAGTACCAGATCAACAGAGCAACCTGTGCCCACTTGTTTTTTTCAATCACCTCTGTAACACACAACTCAGGCAGTGTGGAAGTTAATTTCAAGGCGACCTGACAGCCTCCAAGCCCTGCAGATCATCTTCAGGACCTGCTTTTATTCCAGGGCCAAGCCACAATTCAATCTGCAAAAGCATATGAATGATGATAACAGTACTGAAAATATTTACACCATCACTACGGCCAGGTGCAATGTGAAATTGGTTTCATCAGGACACTTATGTGATTCTCCAGAGCAAAAGAGAAGCTCAGCACAACTCACCAGTTTCTCCTTGGAACAGTAGGACTCAAAGCTCTTGGAGAGTATGTCAGCATACTGCATCAGCACTTTCCCAATAGTCTGTGAAGACAAGATGTGAGCACTGTTACTTGTCCCCTACCACTGCTGAAGAACTCCAGGAAATAAAACAAAAAAAACATTACGTTGTTTTACATCCCATTAAGGCAAGATTAACATCTGGACGTTGAGGGTATTACCTTAGCAAACCTCCTATTATAATGAGCAACAATGACAGGGTCTGGGCACTCCAGCTTCTTAATGATCTCAAAGCTCTGATTGAGCTGGGTGAAGACATCCACCACTGAGCAAGAGAACAGAGCATGCTCGGACGTTTGCTGGAACTAAAACAGAAGTACAAAGAGTCACTGTCAAGCAGAAAGATCTGAAACACACTCATTTCATGGGTGTTTCCATCATCTGTGGCATTGAAGGCAGGACAAATTTATCAAAACCTACATCTTCCTCTGAATTAGTCAAAAAACCTCTCCAAAAGGCCTAGAGATGCTAAATAGCCAATTCAGTTGGGTTGTAAGTTTACTGTCCTTTACCAGTGATGACATGACAAGCACCAGGGAAGTGCTGCATGATGCTGAGACCCTTGATGAAATGCATGGTCTGTCAGTTAATGAGGAAGGAAGGAGAGAGTAAAGAGCTCTTTTTAATTTTATTTTTTTTTAAATTTAGATATTGAACAGAATGTTTCCATTAGTATCACAAACTACAGTCCCTGAATAAACAAGAAAGCTCTTCTCTCCATAGGGAATACTCAGCAAATTAAGAATAAGATTGGTCTGTCAGTGGATTAAGGTCACATTCTCACTGCATGACTAAGTACATGCAAAGTGCCTCAATTTTCAATTTCAATTACCTCTTCCAAACAGAGAGAGCACCAAGCCATTGGCTGACAGATTAACAGCAGCAGAACAGACATAAATGAATGATATGTACCTTGCTATTAAAAAGCTCTCTGTGACCTGTAAAGTCCTAAAATAAATGAGTTTCCCAGTTGTCTGGCAAGCAGAAAGGGCCACATCCTCCATTTGTACAACAGCTGAATTTACAGTGTTTTATTTGGTTCTGTGCACTGAACGATGTAGGACCAAGTGTTTCACTCAGCGTGACCTACATACCCCATCTTTTTTATCTCTCTCCAGAGCACCATGCAGGAATTCTAAGGAAACATCTTCATTTTCATCCAGCCACTGCATCACAAATTGCTCAAACCACCTGTGGGAGGGTCAGGAAAGACAGCAAGTTACAGCAGGAAATGGAGCACTCCAACTAGACTCTGACACTGCTGCAGTTCCAGCAAGCCTTGTGAAAGCTTGCCGCTGTTAGATGTCTGAACACTGCTGTCTGTGCATGTAGTCCAAGTTCCCAAATAGACGTGTACCTGTTCTGAAGCACCAGTGAGCAGGGCCTGTACCATGACTTGGGCTGGACCAGCAGGACACAGCCCAGCTCAGCCTCTGCAGACTGCTGGTCCTGAGTTGTTTTTGTCCTTCTCCCTATCTTTTCTCTTCTTGGTACCTTCCCTTTTTCCCCCTTGAGAACCACATTTAACTTTGCATCATCTCAAAGCACTTTGTTGTTTCTTTCCCTTTCATTCAAGTGCCAGATAGCACAAGGGAGACCTCCACACCCACTATCTCTGCATGCCAAAGGGCACCTGTCCTGCTGCCCACTTGGATGTACCAGCTTTCATGTGAGAGCTGCAAACAAGTATAAAGCGAGGAAAAGAAGCACTTGTTTCCCAGGGCCCTTAAGTCACTTCATCTGGAGATACAGATATCTTCTTGGAAAACCAGAAAGAGGAATCAAGGCTGGAAGTTTTCTCCACTTTAATCCTGCTCTCCCTTTCCCTGAGGCTCCCTTAGAATACTCTCCCATTTCCATGGGCTGCTGATCTCACTGTGAAGATGCCTGAATAAGATCAACCTCTGGTGACATCTGCTAGGGTTTGCCAGCCTGTCAGCAGCTCTTCATTGTTTTCTTATGAAGAAGCACAAACTTAGTTCATATTGAGTACTGGACCAACTGCGTTGGTGCAAGACCCCCAAAATAGTGAGTTCCAAGAACAAGGACAGCAAAGTTTGTCTCTGTTGTTCCCCTTCACTTTGGAGGATAAGCTAAGTGGTAGAGCAGAATTTAAGAAGCTGCTGAAACAGCCATTGCTGAATCTGACACATGAGAGGTGTCTCACATGAACTGGTGTCTGCGATTACCTCTTACACTGAAAGGCTTCTACATGATCCCACCTTGTCCAAATAGTCAAGGTGAGAGGCAGCTTCAGTGATGGGATCTTACAGCTGTTCTCTGTTCTCTGTTCTGTGGGACATATTCACACAGTATAAAAGGGGGTGGGTGTGTTTTTGTTGTCTGTGTTTAAGCAATAAGATAGCACTTACAGCCTTATTTAAATGTCTGTCTAGAATTTGTTGCATGCAAGTGCCAACATAGCACAGCTGAAGCAAATCTTAATTTCAAATATTACTAAACAGCATTCACAAATAAAAGAAAAAAGTGCCCATGTGTGATTTAGTCCATACAAAAGATTATTATATGAGCTTCAGAGAGTACAGCCTCCTCTAAACAGGCAGCTGCGTTCATAGAGATTGTGCTAATTATGGGCTGAGTTTGCAAAGAACATGAAAGCATGTGCCAGACATGAGAGGGAGATCAAGAGCAAATTCACAGGCAGAGCACACTAGATAGCCTTAAATACTCTCTAAACTTTGAAATATAAAGCACATCAATGCTAATATTGGAAATTGTAACTGACACAGTGTTAAAATGCCAACAGAAACCTGTCTATGCAGCCCTATTTATTACAGACAGCAACAGTGGAATACTGTCACAGACATATGGACTTCCTGTATTCTGGAAAAATTCCTTTTGAATGGCACTTCAGGCTCCTAAAAGTCAGCATATGTTGAAGTCTGCTGCAAGTTTCTCAAGCTTTCAACATTTTCTTTTAAACTGCAATAGTGTATTTTAAACAACTAGAGCCTTAGAAGGGAACTCAGGCATTTTACAAGGAAGTAACTATACATCTTCCACCTGTTTCACAATTCCCAGGCTGTGAGTTGCTGACTGCTTCACATGTCACAGGTCAATGTGCAGGGAGGATTACTTCTTGGTGCCAGAAGCCACAGTTTTCACTCTGAGAAGCAGAGCAACTTCCTGATTATCATTCACCCTTAGTTATGGCACCACATTCACAAGAAAGAGCCATTTGCTGTTGAGAACAGTCACTGCCCATTTTTATGGCTACCATATGTTGATGTACAAAATCAAGTGCATAGGTATTTTACTGTCTTGCCAAATTGTCTAAACAAAGGTGGCAACAAAAAAGGTGCTGTTGGGTGGGTGGGGATGGTACATTTGCTTCCCCCTCATTAAAAAAAGCATTGCCTTCAGGAAAAGGTTTAGTATGAATGTTAAATGAATCACTTAGGGTCAGGTCAGGACATTCTGTAGGTACATTTGCAAAGCCAGCCTCAACTTTGCCCTTTATTGGCTGGCAGGAAAACACATGAGATGCAAATAATTCATAAATACCTCCAGTCCATGTGCATATTCAGAACCAAAACATACTCTGAACTGTAACACAAACCTAGAGCTATCTTAGGCCAAGTACCCCTTACAGTGCTCTACTATCAGGTCTTGGGCTGCTGAGCAAGTGAGGGGGGACTGCAAAGGCAACATATCCAGAACCATACTCAAAATTATCTAGCACAAAACCGAATAAAAATAATCTGATTTCATGCAGAAATAACTTCAAAATTTATATGGCAAATATCTTCTCCCTTGTCTGCTTCAATTATTGATCTAGACGCAAATGCTGTAATGAATCACGCACCAGCACACAAGGCAGTAGCTCACAGTGCTACTTCAGAGACATTTTGTGCTCACTGGGGTCAGCACTGACTCCAGACAGCACAGCCAACCCCTCTAAACAAGGTATGTACAGAATATGCTTCAGTCCTGCCTGCTGGGAAAGGGAGCAGCACTTTGGGACTAAATGGAAGTTTACCTCTGCTGGCTGCACAACAGAGAGGTAACACAAAACACTACCATTTCAGCTTGGCCATGAGCATGGCTCCTGCAGTGTCACACCAGACAGGTGAATTCATCTTGTTCATTTGCTGTGGGTATCCAGTGAACAACCTCTGGGTCTTGGCAAGTGCTGAGGCAAGAAGGCAGGCGGGATTCCAAAGAGTAGAAGAATAAATACTGTGTTTGATGAAGAGAGCTGGGATAAGTCAACAGAATCTCAAGGAAGGAATACCTTCCCTCACCAGAGAGAGGGCAGCTACAATGCTAGCTGCATGCTAACACTAGTATTAAAACAAAACACAGAAGACTTATTTTACGCATCTAAAAAGCTAGGTTAGCTGGCAGCTAAAAGCTGAAGAGAGGAAGTTTTGAAGATTCACTCCCAGATACATAGCTATTTCCGTTTCAGAAACTGCTGCTGAATTTCAGAAAATAAAGGGAGTATAAAAACTTCAGCTTCAATTCTTTCAAGCCTTCACTTTGTTCAATTATATCTCAAGGCTATCAGAAACATGGTTTCTCATAGTTTCAACATGAAAAGCGAGTTTGGGGATAACCTCTTGTCTGACAAGAAGTCAGACAACCCAACTGTTGTCTGGACAGCAGCAATTTAGTTTCACCTAAAGAGTTTACTGATGTGCAAACCTGATGTGTAGACTCCTTTGTTTAAGGAAGTTTCAAGACAAAGTACTAGTGATAAGCAAATCAAAGGACAAGAGCACGTAGCTGTAATTGATATCAAGGGGATATTTCGTGACAGGTGAAGGTTATGGTTGAAATAAACATCACCTACGTGTGACAATGTGCCTATTGTTCTAAAATAAAAGAGTGAAGTAACAAAGCCATTGGCCGCAAATGCACATGAGCACTGAAGCTCTACCACAAAGGGCAGCAAAGCAGAACAGACTGCAGAAGTCTGCAGAACAAAACTGAGCATCATTATCCTGATTACACAGGAGAAAAAGAGAGATTAAGAATGTCTGATGGCTTGCCTGAGATTGCCCAGACTCAGAGGCACAGCAAAGAGAACAAGGTTTCTGAGACTGCCATTCCAGCACCCTGTTCACTGGGTTTATGCCTCTTGCTGACCTGATTTAATCAAGGCCCACAGCCCACGACGAGCAATTATGCCAATTGCCTCACGTCTTATTAGTATGCAGCTGGCACCAGGCTTGAGGGACCACATGCACAACAGGATGGGAAGAGAATTCAAAGTGCCAAACTGGAAACAGAGTCCAGGCACGATGTGTTTTTCAAGGGGGACAAGTGCAAAGTGCTGCATTTGGACAGAAGTGAACAGTCATGTACAGGATGGGAACAGCAGCGTGGTAGGACACAATGCTGAGGGTGCCTGTGGGCTGGCCTGTGGCCCACTGGAAGCACCACGAGTCAACAATAATTCTGAATAAAAGAAAAAAGAAAGGGTTGCTGTCAACCCAGAGAGCAACAGCACTGTCTGCAAGGCAATGCAAGGCAAGGTCTAGATGAAACATCGATATTTAAGGCTGGGTATTGTATGTTCAGACACAGACCAGCTGGAAAGAGGTGAGTAAACCTCCCTTACAAGGAAAGCTGGGAAGAAACAAGAACCAGCACAAGACTGGGAAGAGACATGAGCAGAGCATTTTAGTCTTATAAAGCAGGAACAATTTATTCTCCATGCCCAGCCTATAACAAGCTCAAATCAAAACAAGAAAGACTGAGGGAGAAAAAGGAAAGTGTGTTAAACCCCCCAAAACCAATGGAGGGGTAACAGTGAAGCACAGGAAAAAAGGCTTTCAGTGCAACCATCACTGAAAGCCTCTGAAAACCAGTTAAAACACTGGTCAGACCCAGGATACCTGCTCTTGCCTTAGGCAAGGAACTCTAGCTACGGCATTATCTCTGGGTTGTTCCCTTTTGGGCTCATACACCTTCTCCAGGTCTGAAATCTACTGTTGCTCGTTTAAAGTTAAATAAAAGTTACAAACAACTGCTTCCAGCTCAAGAGGAACAGCTTATCTGATGTTTCCAGGTAAACCACCCAGTCTTTCTAAAAAGGAGAAAACATTATCTTACAAATCCTGTAGTGTGCACATAGGACATCCGTAAACGCAGACATACAGTATAAACACATAAACCTGTACCTACAAACACAAGAATGTAAGCCTACATCTGCTGTTCAAGAACTGACCAAAGCCCACACTGCAGGCACAGACTGACCTAAGAGACTGTCCATGCCATTGCTAAAGCTTTAGAAATGCTGGGAGATATTGTACAATAAGGGACTGAGTTGGGTTGGGGCAGTGGCACAGAACACCACAGGTGACAAACAAGCACATAAAAAAGCACAGAACATCAGGAGTGAAGAAATGCTGTTATCATGAAGGCAGCCACAGGAGAACCAAATGATCCCCCTACCCTCAAGGTAACACAAGGAGACAGACAGTGGGGATTTACTAAAGGACACATAATACACTCACGCTGGATATTCAGGCACTTTTCCCTGGAAGGCAGGCAGATCACGAACATATTCATTGTACAGCCACTTCACTTTGAAGTGTAAATTCATATAGTCCGCACTTTTACACAGTCTGTGTTTCTCATGCTCTGTAAGGAAGGAAAAATAAGCAGTTAAGTCTGAATTTACCACTGTCATTGCCATCAGGCACAGGAAGGTTTTATAAAGTGCATCTGCACTATGCAATGTTTTGAGTATGAAGCATCTATAGAGACATAAAATCTTCACAGCACAGAATTTTGGCAGCAAGCAGGGGTTCTTGGAGGTTGACCATTGGGGCTCTGGAGTTTATTTCTGTAGCTCTAATTAATACTTCCATTTGCTGAAGATTTTTTTGGTTGTCAAAGCAATAAAAACAGAGGAATCTCTTATGGCCTTTTCATTTAACATATCACAGTCGAGATTCCATCTTTGCAGAGGAAAAATCAAGGCAAGTGAATCTGTTCATTCTTAGATACAAACAAAAGCAATACCAACATGTTACACTACATCCCGTAGGAGACAAGAGCAGAAAGCACCAAGAGTTTGACAGTATGAGTCACAAGCAAGTCCAAACGAGCTACACAGGATGTGGAGCCTTCCCTGATCCCCAGTTTAGAGAAATTAATGATACTTCTTTTCCAGAAGGCAGTGTCTGCTGTTGAGCCTCTTCCTCCCTCCAGGTTTCCTAATGTTTTTGTACCCAGACAATGTTGGAACAATTACAATTACACAGTTCTTCCCTGTGTAATGCACATACCTCCAGAACATGACCCTTCCCACACACCTACACTGCTGAAGCACTGGCCATACTCAGACCTACATTTTAACTCCCTAGATCACAGCTTCCCTTACTTAACACAAGGAATGTATTCACCATGTCTTCACTCTCAAGGCCCTTCACAGCCTACGTCCACACTACCATCTTTCAGCAATTGACTCCCACCTCTGATCAGCCCACAATCCCTGTTTTTAAACTACTTGTTAAGTTCTCCCAAACGCTTTCTCCCAAGCCACCCCTCATGTGCTTACACAGGCAGCTCCTTGTACCGTGCTGCTTTTCTTCAAAATCTCCCTTGAAAAGATTAAAATTAATTCCTTTTTCACGATGCTATGAGGACTCAGCAGCTGGCTTTTGTCTGTACTGTGACCCTGCGTTATCAGGTGATCAATTCTGCACCGCTGCTACCCAGTGCTGCCCGTCCATATCCATCTCTTTCGTTTGCCAGGCCTCACAGCAGGAATACACTTTGTGCCAAGCTTCTTTGTTCACTCTAGCACCACAGCAAGCTGCTAGTCCATGTCTACAGTGTGAGATATTATACTAAGACACACATGATTTTAGCTCAGGTTCAGGTTTATATCCTTAGAATTTGAGTTTAGACTCGTCTTCCTATCTTACATGTGGGTACCTCCTTACTGACGTCACTTTCCAAGGGCATCACTGCTGACATGCAGACAGGATTCAGCTATGTTGAAAAGAGAAAGTCTTTTTCTTAACTTTGAATAGCTTTAATCTAGGACTTCAGTACAGGTATATCCAGTAGCTGGGTAGATCTGTGCACATGTGAGCAATACATGCTACAGACACTCATAAGTGGAAGATACATCTTCATGATGCAAAATGGCTGTAGTTTTCTAATCAGTTACCTGACAGACAAGCTTATCTTACATCATTATCATCATCTATTTTCATGTAAATGTGAATTCTTGCAACTAATTCAAAACACTGAGAAACTTCTGTATCTCTCTTGAAGCTTCATCAACCTGCACAAGAAGAAGGTCCACATCAAGTATGAATTATGCAACCGAAAACACAAAATCCAGAGAAATTTTCATTCAGAATTTTTCCATAAGCCTTGGCAACTGCCAAGCAGTGGAATGCCCAGTATCTGAGAGACACAGTCCCCAGGAGTAATGGTTCAATGGACAAATTACATATACTATGGTCCATTTCCCTCCAAAGTGAATTTGCTTGTATTGGAGCTGTGGAAAGTCCGTTCCTGTTTTATATTAATAATCTTGTATCTTTCTTCAGCACTTAGGAGTATACTCAGTGTCTGAACTGCTGACATCCCTCAAGCAACTGCAGAAGAAAATACAAACTCTCTCCACAGATCTGGAAGCAAACAGAGCAATAACTGTGCCTGCTTCGCTCCCTGTGACTGAGGAAACCAACGGACAATTATAACTTCATTAACTTGGACAGGCGCTGCCTCCAGCTGCTGTTTCTGCATGGGGAAGGTGCTGTTCCTGCAAAGGAGAGGTCTGACTTGGACACAAAAAGGACTTAAATCAGACTTAGTTCCTCAAAATTAAGCAATGCACTAAAAGCAAGCAATTCAAGCCTTTTTCTGTTTTTAGAATGTTTAAAACACTTCTAAGTTGCAGAAGACGAAGATGCAAAGCAGTCAGAGAAGCTAAAGCCCAAGGACTGCTAGGACTACCTGGCCATCTAAGTGCTAAAGGAGACACTTGACACTAAGGGCATAAACTACAGGAAAGTAAAAGAAAGAAGAAGAGGTCTTACCACCATAAAAGAGAACTTTACGTATTCGAAAGAGAGGTGGGGCTTGTGACAGAGAAAAGACAAAAGTGAACTATAACAGCTCAAACACTCTGGAGGACAAAGCCAACAAACACCCAAAACCCCCTCATTCCCAACAGCTCACACCATCTGCCTTCCCTCCTTCAGTGGACCCTGCACAGTTTCGATAAGCTGCTTCCTTTATAAGGTGAAATGTTTAAGACTACCTGAAGGTGACATGGAAACACATCAGTCAGAGGCATACACTGAAAGCCCATTTTAGAAAAGGTAAAGTGAAGGTCCTGGGAGTCATCAGTCTTAGAACATTTCTGTGCTGCTTTATAACCTGCTGGCTTTTAAAGAGCTTAGTGGCAGCAGCAGCAGAACAGCACAGAGATATTGTACAGCAACTACTGTGTTTTATCCTGAAAAGACCACAGAGTTCTCTAAGTCTCACACATTTCCTCACCAGATTTCATCTGCCAACAGCCTCCAATGGAGAAAAGCTTTTAGGGTCACCAAGGCCATATTATTAAGGCATTAATAGGGAACTGTTCCCTAGCAGCACACTTTCTAGCGTCACATCCAGTTCTATTTTTTCAGGCAGAGAACAGTGCTTCCACCACATCCTTTAATCCACAGATTATGTTTCCTGATTGTTAGTCTACTTTTCATGGGTTAATTTCCAGCAAATAATGCCAAATTTCTGCAAAGAAACTCTAATAGGTACCAAGGCTGTTGAAGCATCAACACTTTAGACAGATGGCATCTGTGTGTGCCTCCGATCCCCTTCTCCTTATTAGAAGTGAGAAAGTGGCAGAATGATTTATTTCAATCCTGCCTGCCAAGTCTGCTCAGTCTCTCTTCCTATCAAAGACGCTTCCAATTTGCAACTCTCCTAATGCTGATGTGTCCAAACTAAGATAAAATGGTGCTGTCAAGGATGACGTTGATTTTCTATTACTGTCTTTTAAGGCCTTTCTGATAAAGGAAGAGCACAAGCCTCTTTGCTCGAGGTGTTTGTGCTTTCTGGGCCACAGAGGTTTCACAGAGGACAGTGAGAAACCTATTAACTCCAATTAACCAGTCAGTGTCCCAGAGGTGGTGCCAACTGTATGACTTGGAAAATCATCCTCTACACTACAGTGACTCCAGGGGAGCATGATCCTGCCAGCCAAGTCTGGGACACACGATGATCTGATCTGTTTTACTCTTGGGTTGATGGGGAACACAGGACACTTCTCAAAGACTTGTCCTGTACTGCCTTTGCCAGTAAACAGGCAAGTGCCAGCTCTGCTGTGAATGGTGCTTTGAATTGTCATTGCTTTAGGGAAGAAAGAAAAGAAGCAGGGTAGATCCTGGAGCTTCTGCTGTGTCTCAGATGCTGAGTCTCCTTAGGAGAGCGGAAGGCATAAGATCTGTCTGCGGTGCACTTGCCTTTCAGCAGTCAAACACACTGCTGCCTGATGACTGCTACCGGTTCCTGAACACATTTTAAATAGAGAATAGGTGTTTAATTTTTATGACTTGAACATTTCTCACATCAGCAGTCTAACCCTACAGAAGGTGTCTGAAGGACATGTGGTGCAGTATCCACAGGCTGGTATGAACTCTGCATCTGAAGCCCTTCAGCCCTGTATTCTAGGTATAAATTAGAGTTTATACATTGTCCTGCACAGGCTGCGTGGGTGCACATGGGGCTAAAGTCCAGTTGGGAAAGGCATGATGGGGAAAAAGGAAAGCAACTCACACAGTCAGGCACCACTCTCCAGCTCAAAGAAACCATCTCCCACCTGAGCCTCCCAACTCTCCTCCACACTGCATCCTGGAGAGCAGTGTGGAAGTATGAGGCTGGAAGGAGGCAGGGGACAGTTTCATGCAGCCAGGCCTGCACTCTTTCTACTCCAAACCCTTCACATTGCAGAGTGGAAGGACCAGAGAACCTCAAGCATCACCTGGGCCAGGAGGAAAGGAATAGAGTCACACACGAACTGGAGCTCTGACCTCAGCAGCTATTCTTCAAGAGACATTATCTACATCTTAATGCCTGGGACCCAGCAAAGGGGCTATTTCCCAGAACTGCTCAGTGCATCAGGTACTGTCAAAAAACTGGAGTGGCTGATCAGAACAGGAGTCTCCCTACAGCACATACCCTCCATTTCTACAGCAGCAGTATGGTCTTTCAAGTCTTCTTTGCAGATCTGTTTTAATGCTGGCATTAGACTACAGAACACTAAAGCTAGTGTGACAAACTACATCCAGAGTGCTAAAACTATGGGTAACAGATTAAACTCTTCATCTACTCACACCTACAAGCTCCACAAGGAGCATGAACTTACCACTTGGTGAGGTGAATGAGCTCATGTGATCCAGAACTTAGGAACAGAACATAAGGGAAAACACCATGAAGAAAGTTAGGAGCAAGTGTTATAGTCTGGGTTCATGTGCACATATCTCCACAAAGTAGATTAGCTTTTCTTGAAGAGAGCTCTTGATGCATATAGATCTTGAAGCGCACCAGAAATGTACCCAGGGATTATGCCACAAACTGGCAAAAGGAATATGAAACTCTTAGTGCAGTTAAACTGGTAAAACAATCAGTGACTGAGCCTGAGAAATGACAGAGCCAAGAGCTAAGGACAGCAAATCTAATCATCATCCCTCACATCATTCAATCAATTTCCTTTAATCCCTTTTTTCCCCTAGTTTAAAAAAAAAATGCACTTAGCTAATCCAATCATCTGTATTTAAAATATATCTAGTAAGGCCTATAATTGAATTATAGTAGAGCTTGTTCTAAAGGTTATCTTCACAAGTTTCTGGAGAGCAAAGCAGTGAGGAATCACACTTGCCTCAAATAGAATTCTGCACCCTGAGGATTTCTTGAATATATATTTGGAAGAGACACACCCAACGTTGACTCTACTGCTGTCCAACCCTCCAGCATAACTTGCACAACTAGAGTACAAATACACTACCATGCAGTTTTTCAACTTTTGCTCAAAATGCAAATCCTCCCCCGTCCATCAGCCACCTTTGTGTCAATTTTCGTCACCAATAAATATTTTGAAGAGGGATGGTCTTTCAGAGAGTATTTGCTATGCACTGAGGAACTAAGGGATGGAAACATGATACCAATCCTTGTCTTAAGAAGCTCAAAAGTGACCAGTAGCATGTCAGGAAAAGGTAAAATAAGCCCAGATTGATGAGTGGGAACAGAGTCAAAGGGGACATGGTATGAGATCTGAACAGAGAAAACCTGGGAGGCCAAGCGAACATGTAATCAAATAAAGTCATTAAAAAGACAAAAAACCCCCAGTCAAAGTCATGTCCCCTTTGACAGTCAAATTCACACATGTAACCTTTTTACAGTTGCATTTTGGATGCAACAGGGAAAGGAAATCTTAGGAAAGTAAGCAACCAGATCTGGAGAGATCTCATGGCTGCAGATAAAGGAGGAAGATAGGACACTTCCAACAGTTAGAAGAGTAAATTGCACTATAAATTCTTGAAGGCAAGCACACAGGAGTAAATAGAACCATGGATTGGCTTGGGTTGGAAGGGACCATAATGGTCATCTCATTCCATCCCCCGTGCCATGGGCAGGGACACTAGAACAGGTTGCTCAAAGCCCCATCCAACCTGGCCTTGAACACTGACAGGGATGTGGCACTCACAGCTTCTCTGGGCAACCTGTTCCAGGGCCTCACCCCCCTCCCAGGGAAAAATTTTTTCCTAATATCCAACCTAAACATATTCTCTTTCAGTTTGAAGCCATTCCCTCTTGTCCTGTCACTCCATGTTCTTGTAAAAAGTCCCTCTCCATCTTTCTTGTAGGCTCCCTTCAGGGACTGGAAGGCTGTAATTAGGTCACCTGGAAGCCTTCTCTTTTCCAGGCTGAACAATCCCAATTCTTTCAGACTTTCTTCGTAGGAGAGGTGCTCCATCCCTTCTATATAAGTAAGAACAAAACTGAAAGGGGACCTAAAATGGTTTGCAGGAGCAAAATGTTTCTAGGGAAAGATAACATGAAATTATCACCATTGCCTCATCTCTAACATATGAGCAAGTAGTGACAATCCCTATAAAAGAGATTCTTCAACACAGTAGGTCTTAGTCCTTCTTCCCAGTGTCTGTTCTTATATCAGCATGACCTCACAAGACAAAGGCACTGTGGGGTACAGGCGTATATAAAAAGTTCCTAACACAGAATTGAGAACATTTCATCCAGCCCTGCAGCCTGCTGAATTCAAGCCTACAGCTGGCAAAGAGCCTCCCCCCACAGCACAGTCTCTACTTCTGTTGCACTGACAGAGATTAATACAATAAATGGAGTCAACCTTCTTCACTTACAGGGCAACCCCACAGACTGTTTCTGAAGAACAAAATGCAGGAAACTCTTTTACAGGCAGCATTTTTGTTCTAACAATTTGAAGTAAGAGTCTAATAGGCCGTGACTTCTATAAGCAAGCTCAAATCAAACTAGGGACAAGTGGATTGAGCAAAATTTTGTGAGTGACCAAAAGCAGCAGCTTGACCTGGGTTTGGAATATGAATACAGACACTAACACGCCACAGACAGCACCGGCCCTTCTCTTTTATCACAATAGCAACTTACACGTGATCATAAAGCTGAACCCTACGAAATACCGAGAAAGCAACTGCTACCACAGCTGCAGAGCTAGCGGGAGCTGGATGCTCTCTGAACCTTGTAAAAAGATGATTAGATTGTGCAAATCAATGTATAGAACTAAAATCAAGTTCAGAAACTGTAATCAACCACCTGAAGAGTACTGCAAGTAGCAGAATTCCTTTCTGGAAGTTTGCTGGGCTTTGCATGCCTAACTCATTTTCAGAAACAGTAAAATTTCTTCCCTACTAGGAGGTGGAATTATGCAAAGACTAATTCAAAATGTCTGCAGCAGGAATTGTTTTAACAGCATCTTTCTGCCAATGGCTTAGACCATCTATGCTGTACTATCCAGGGAACTAGAGCTATGGCAAAACCCAGAGCCTGCCTACGTTTTCAACCCTTTCTACCACAGTACACTGCAGAATGAAGCTGCTGCTGGCTGCTAATCTAAGCCAACGTAACCTCAGGTCAAAGAGAACTTCTGATTTCAAACCAGCTGGGATGACGATAAACAGCTTGCAACACAGCCTGACTCAGAGGCGTGGAGCTCATGGAGATCTCGGCCTCAATTCTCACCCATAAAGCAGCTGTGCACAAACAAACCACTGGGAATCTCTGCTCCAAACAGTGCTGCTACTCCTGTGCTTAGGCCTCATTTTCACCAAATGGATGGAGAACAAGAGATCAGCAACAAGTCAGCTGGCAGCAGTGAGACATTCTCTTACCTTCCATGGCGTATTTCATATCCTGGGCAAAAAGACTCCACATCACCTCTGCGCTGATCTTCCCAACTGCAAGCTCCTGAGGAAACCTGAGGGGACATTCGGAAAAACTTTGGCATGTGGCAGAGCAAAAGGCTCTTCTTTATTCATCTCTGAGCTACACTATGTGATGAAAAGCTCAACATTACGGAACTTCCTTCATCCTAGATAAAGGTCCAGGTGAAAACTGGAGACCGTGAACTGGATTCTGTGGCATAGATTAAGTAATCTGAAAACTACACTGGTTTTAACTCAAAAAGCCAGGTCCTGGATGTCATTCCACGTAGAGATGCAGAAAACAATTCTGAGAATGTGATCTCAACGCCCTTGTACCTTTTTTCCGTTTACTTGTCTATTTTTTTCATTCTCCTTTTCAAGGGTTACTAGGCTGACAGATTAATGATTATTATGTTAAATCAATGATCATTAGGGCATTATCCAGCTGTTCATGTATAATACCTTGTCAGATCTCTCTCTCTCTCCTGCCCTGTGGGACTGTTGGAGTGGTGTCACTGGTTAAACAGACCTGTTTCAGGTTCCTTTCCAATGCTGTGACAACTCCACCCAATGCAATCTCCCACCGCTGCAATGAACACCATGTTCCTAAATCACAGTGTAAGGCACCATGGCACCACTGTGTGCATTAACGTGCACCCCAGAACTGCTCAACATCAGAAAAAAACAAAAGAACTCTCACCCCATTTTCAGGTGCCTCCCTGAGTTCAGGATTGTAATAATCAGGGTGTTTGTGCTCGAACGCCAGCGTAACTGAACCTTTTGAAACTCTTCCATCCCAATCAAAAAGAGTTATTTATAAAGACAGAGACAGATAAGACAGAAAGACAGACAGACAAGATAAGTACTTCTATAAATGCACAAGTGACAGAAGAGATAGAAAGCAGCTCAACAAATAAAGCAGAGCACACACAGACTAGTATTAGCCACACAGGACATGGAAGTTTCTTACTGATTCAGGACTGGGGTATAGGAATTCTTGTCCTCTTCTATGATGGAAACTATCAAAGTGATGAGCTTGGGCCAGAAATCAAGGTTCCTGATGCTGGGGCCCTGTTCCTCAGGAGGAAGGTCCTGACTTTTGTTCTGGGAAGGAAGCCATTGGAAAAACAGCATAAACTTTAAGTGGACAGAAAAAGCTGGCAAATGTAGATCACCATTGTGGGCCCATTCTCTGAAAAGCTTGAAACTAATAATGACTGCTGGTAATTTGCCTGATCTAATGCAAAACATAGTAAACATGCCAAACCATGTTGCTTACTGGTGGCCTCAAACCCAACTAATCACTGTTTTGTCATTTACCATGCCAAGAGTAGGCCAGGCTCCAGAAGACCTGCTGAGACATTATTTTCCCTAAGTTTATTCCAAATACTTGCTTTCTAGGCACCTGCTTGATGACTATATCCACACTGACACATTGTGTGTGCGTTACTACACAGTGGTCGGAGGAGCTTTTATGGATTTGAAAACAGCTTGTGTCTAGAGGCACCTCCTAAACCCAGTGCAGGATACTGGCTGCTAGAAAACAAGGTAAAATTTCACTGCTCGGGGTTTATATATGCTAAAGTTTCCTGGATCAGTCTACATCTGCTCTAATTGGCTTTTGCTCATTCAAAGCTACATCAAACCTTCCCTTCACAAGTAACTGCTGAGGCTGGCAAAATGCATCATAATTAGTGTAAAACAATTATCATCCTCCACTTACTAATTAGCGCTCATTATTTGATTACAAGTTTCGTGCATTCAGAAGATAACAAGTCACGTAATTTTGTTTGTGTTGGCTTTTTGTATCAATTAGTATTCTCGTTATTATCTTAAGAAAATCAGAAACTTGGACTTCAGCCTTCTTATCAGCTACTCACAGGGTCTGTCTGGTACTCGCGACTGTACAGCTCATGACAGTTGTTGAAAATGTACTCGTAGGTGGAGTTGAGACAAGCTTTTACACAGTCCTTCACTACCTGGCTGGCTCGGGGTGGGCTCTGCAGCTCTTGGACCTGACAAGGAGACAACAAAGAGAGTCAAACAAAGAATTGCTCATAAATCAAACAGGGAAGGAACACACCACCGGTTTGGGAACCACCCAGGGCTTGGTGGATCTGCTTTCAGCGACTTGTGCTATCGGTGACCTGAAGCCACAAGTGGGTCACTCTCCCCAGACATCAAAGAGCACTGATGACACTTATCTCCCCATTGGACCATTTGCAGAATAAAAACAGATTTTGAAAGGCCAAGGAAGATTCCTCAAAACAGACAGATCATGTGGCTTGATATGTGTATAATCTGAGCCAAACACACAATTTCTGCTGAATTTATAGGATTTTGTTATGAAGCCAGCGAGTAATCTTTCCCAACATTGGAAAAATGTGCAACAGACCAGCAGAGCAGATAACATATGATCTGGAAAGTCTTGCTGAAGACCACTCATGCCTTTAAATACAAAAACTTGCATTAAGGACATCTTTCATCACAAGCTTTATTGAATTTTAAAGCACACCAGAATCCCTAGGGTTATGCCAACTGATACGCCTTCTCCTCTTGCAACAGCAGCTGTTTTCATTATTTCATTGTTATATTGCTTTAGAAAAATGCTGCAGGAGCACTTTAAACTAAACAGATAGGCAGGCATCACCCTGCAAATACAACAGTAACCCAGCAATTTTAATACTGTCAGTATCTCACAACTTATCAGAGTATTTCTATAAAGGAAACTTTCAATACAGACAGATTGCCTGAATGAACACTCTTAAAATGAAGTTCCAAAACATCATTTACCCTAAGGGTTAGGAGTAAAATTTTAAGAACTTCCTGAAACAGTTCAAATTAAAAACTTGTTTTTTGATAAGAATTTCTATGTGACATGTACAAACAGATGACAGTAGGTTGTAAACTTTTAAAAAAAGTTTAGAAACCAATAATCAGGAATCAAAAATAATCTCATTACACACTGCTAGAACAATAAACTTAACTATGGAATCAGCACATTAGCATTCATAAGAACTCTCCTGGACCTCTACTGAGAAATATTATCTTGTTGCAGTATTTTACCCTCCATGAGATAAATTATAAAATATTTACTAGATAAAAGATAGTGAATAGATGGTAGTGCCTTATGTTACAGTTAGTTTTATAGGAAAAGTTTCCTAAGGATGTTAACAGAAGCAAATTATCTTCCTAAAACTAGCCAATTTTCTTTATTCCTTCTCCTTTCCTTTTTTTTTATGCCATATTTATGACTGAAGAACCCTAGGTAAAAAACAATTTACATCTTCTCAGTGCAAAACACAGTGAAGTAAAGACAAAATGTGGATGTTTATACATGTTCACAGATGATTTCCATCTTCCTTAAGTGTCTAAAGCACAACAATGTTAAACAATGCTTTGAAAATGGGAAATCAACTCCTAGGGGAAAAACTAAAGAGATGCCATTCCCATCCCCACCCATATCACTACCTTCATCCTGAAAAAGGTGATGCTGGTCAGCAAATCCACTGTAGACTTTAGGTCCTGCAGGCGTTCACGGCTGCTGGCTGGGAAGTTATTCTGTTGACAGAAAAGGGAAATCCTGTTGGAAAGCACAGCCAGATCCATGCAAGGCTACAAGCATGTGCTAAATAAGGAAACTGTCTTGGAAACATTTCCTGCTCAAGAAGCTTGTACCAGTCAAAACAATGCTCAATAAATAAGGCCTTTTTGCTGCAGGAGCTTATCTGTTTGCTTAATTAAATAGATTCTCATAAGAACGCAAAGTCCATGGATGCCAGGAGACTGACAGCCCTCGGCAGCAGGAAATCTCTCCTTGGCTGTTGAAGAAGCAGGTTGGGAACAGCCTCACCCCTGGCAGCCCTGGCCTCTTGCCTGAGGTTGCCTGTGTGGGCCCTTTCCTTTTTGCACTCACTGCTTGGTGTTTTGGCTTCCCTTCTGAGATGCTGAGAGATGTGGTGTATTAAAAACCTCTCCAGAGAAACAAAGTGGTCTGAGAAGGAAAAATGAGCACCGTTCCCTCTAAGAAGATATTGTAACCACTCAGCCACCTGTAAGACTCCATCTGCCAAGGTAACTTATGCATCCTTCAGTGCCTCCTTCCCTCTAATGCATTTATTTTACACACCCTTCCCATCACCCTGCTGTCCACAGCCATACACGCCTTCCTCTTCCACTCTCTGGCTCCCACTGAAATTAGAAGTCTTGTCCCTTCCATATATGACACATATTTGTGTATGTGCACATATGTATATATATGTGTGTAAATACATATGCTGAATGCAGAAAGCTTCGCTTCTTGCATGAGATCCTCCCTTCCTGACCTCAGGCACTGCACCCTTTCCTACACTCCCACTCTCTCCAACCTGTGTCCTTTAACTGCATTCATGTTCCTCAGCAGGGTCTTACATTAAAGCTGATATGATTCTTGGTTTTGCTGCAAGTACAATAGCAAAGCCAAGCTTCACTTGGGTAATCTCTTCTTGTTTGCAAGTTCAAAAATTATTAGATATAAAGGTAAAAAAGGGCAGAGGAGAACAAGTGCTCACTTTTTATTGAGGACTTGCAGAAAAATACACAGTCTCTTGACAGTAGTAATTGAGTATTACTGCAGTTCAGCTAACCACTGCAAAGAATTTAATTTGCAGTTATTTGTAGATGCTCATTCCTAGATAACTCTCCTTTTAAGGTTAACTTGTCTACACATGGGCTCTCTGGAACTCAGGGTATTTATCAAAATCAAAGCCTTTGAAGGGTCAAGATCTAAGTACAAATCACTGGATGAATGTGGAATGCTATCTCCTGTCTTGAAAGCTGCAAACTAACACCTTTTCTTCCATAACTTAACCTGCCCTTCAGGGGTCTTAAAATAATTACTAAATGGTCTCAAATTGCTTCAGACATTTCTCTAAATATAATGGCAATTGGATAACACCTGAAATATTTAAACTACACAAATCTTTCCCGGTCCTTTATGTAAGACCTTACTCGTCTGTGCACAGGTCAGTTGCATTAGCCACTGAAAAGCAGCTTTTAATGAAGACCAAGCAAACAAAAAAGGCATCACTGCTACAGATTCCTATTGCCATACGTTGATAATTTGCCTTCTGCTACTCGGTGGCTCTGTTTAGACCTTCTCTTACTAGTACTGTAGCTTTAGAATAGCTCTTCATACAATATTCCTTTTATCTTCTTTTGCACCCTGCCCCTTTTCCTTTTTGTTTTCTCTTCCTACTGCACTTCTCTTAATCCGCTCATGTTTTTCTCTTACATATGTTTTTCTGCATTTCAGATGAATGCACTAATCAGAAGAGGATCTAGTTTAAAATAAATAAATAAAATCAAAGCTCACATTTGCCACCATTTTTACAATTTTCAATTAATTAATCACCAATTGAGATACTATGGCAAGGAAATTAAGGAAAAAAAAACCAAGTCACGTGATAAGACTATACTGACTCTGCAGTAGCAGAGGAAGAAAACAGAGGGTTTATGAAGCCTGTTAGACTCATCTCTTCACAAAACGTTGAACAGGACAGAATCTCAAACCTGACAATACATCTTGTAGATCCAAAGTTAGGGACAGTGATTCGAGTTTGGCAAACCTCAAATAAGTGACAACATGGCTGTGGGTCCTCTAAAATATTTCTGTCATACTAGGGGAGAACAACTCTATTTTCCATTTTTAGATGACACCTGAAGGAGCTGATAAGAGTAATTAAAATAATTTAATCCAATCCAACTTGCATTTCTGGGAGAGTGTCAGAGATGAGCACAGTTCACAATCCTCAAATTATTTCATAAGGCTTGAGGAAGTTATAATGGAAAAAAAAAACATGATCCATGAGGAAAACTAAATGGTATATTTAAGTAACAAGTTTGTCATGACAATTTCTTAAGACACAAACTACACAAAAAGTTAGAAACATATGAGAAATCCAAATGGTGTGTTTCCCCTCTGCCCACCAGAATGCCTGAAAGGACTATATTTATTCTCACTCACCCTGTACATCGAGAGATCAATCCGAAGTGAATTATGAAGCTGGTCCAGAAGCTTCACAAATCGTTCTTTCTGTTGAGAACACCAATAAACATCACTTATCATCACTGTCCAATCGATGTTCAAAGTAAGCAGCAGGCTATCAGGTAATTAGTGTCAGATCTCATGAGAGCAGGAGGAAGCAGTATGGATACATGGCGTTGTGTAAACAGTGTTTTCTTTCAATTCTTGGATTTACTTTTAAACTGTAATTATTTCTGAAGTCTACATAATGTTAGAATTGTCAGAAAAAACACTCCATTATTACTCTGAAGTAGAGGCAGAAGAGAAACCCCTCTGATTTCTAGTCTGCAATTTACACCAAACTTGTATTTAAGAGAAAATATTTATTCAGGGATGGATAAAGTACAGCAGAAGAGAGTCTAATTCAGAGCAATAACACAGCTGCAAGATCTTATCTATTAGTTCAGTGACAAGTATTATAGGCTTCTTGTGACATATCTTCTTGAGGTCAGATTTCTCCACTGGATTCTGATTTGGCATTGTGAACACCTCCTCAATCTACTCATAAATTCTCAATCTGATGGGAAGCATAAGCCTTTCCAAATACTTTGCCAGCATACTCAGCTCCACCACCAGTTATGTCAAAAATATTTTAACCATTAGAGGGATAGACATTTCTTGTGGCTTCGAGTTTGTTTTTTCTTCCTTAAAGTAGTTGCTATTTTTAAAAATAAAGTTCTGAAATTACTAGATCACATGGTATATTTCTGCAACAGCATCAACAGGCAGAGTTTAGTACTGTTTGCTCATTCCATACCATCTGTGCTCTATTGTAATGTGAACATAAAGAATAAACATCACAATGCATTACACTGATTGGTAACAAAAATGCATGATGATGACGACAATAAACCCATGCTCTTTGTACAGTCTGAAAGAGTTTTACTGCTTCCAACTCCTCACAGATTTAATGTTCCTTAAACAGGAGTTATTTATTGAAAGGTGGAAGCACCGCAGGGAAATTACAGAAGTCCAGCTGTAACATCACCAAACACGCAAACATACCCCAAAATTGGAGGCTGCAAAGCGGTCCGAAGCAGACACGTTTGTGGAGGCAGTGGTGTGTGCATAATAAGCATTGATATTGGCAAGTAAGGTGCTCATCACAGCTGGCACGCCTGGGCACATGTATTTAGAAGAGAGACACGCAAAATGCCTGCAAAAGAACAGTTCTGTAAGTCATTCTGGTCTCCCTTGTGTAGCAGTACTTGACTTTATCCCTTTAATAGACCCCGTGTTCTGGCGGGCACTGATGAACAGATGCAAGTTGTTTCATCCCTTTACGCAGCTTTCCAGCATCTCAGAGCCTTTTTTCAGAACGATGCCATCTAGACAACAGCTCAAAATGAGAAATCCCTTCACTACAGACCTTTCTAGATCATAAACCAACTGTTTGCTGCCAACAGCTTGTGACTCCAGTCATACCCTGGGTCTTCATGCCAATTCCTAGAACCAAGCCTGACACAAGGTAATCTATATAACTTGCTGCTGCTCGAGGCAGACATGGGTTCTGAGGTGACATGAAGCAGCAGCAACTGCCTCAGAGAGGCACAGAGAGAGCACACACGCTGGTATTTCTGTGCTGCACTGATATGTGATTCCTTATGGCTGACCCTTCCAGCCTGCAGGAAGCATTCACGTTCATTTGCATTTTCCCATTCTCTCATTAAATGAAAGGAACCCTCCTTCACAAAATCTCAACATTATGCCAGGAGCACCCAGGCTTGTGAAATGATTAAATAATCAAAGAAAATCCATTAGACATACGAGGGGAAAAAAATAATCAGAACTTAAGAGGTCTTGTATTATGGGACATGGCAAGTAAAGTTCATTCCAACAGGCAGGAGAGTTGAGCTGTTTTTAAGCTGGAATCCTCCGAGCTCCCAAACGAAATCTGGAAGCTACTTTCCAAATGCAGCTTTCTCCTTAAGGGACTCACAGAATCATAGAATAGTTTGGGATGGGAGGGACCTTTAAGGTCCACCCCTACAGTGAACAGGGACATCTTCAACCAGACCAGGTTGCTCAAAATCCCCGACCTTGAACATTTCCAGGGATAGAACATCTACCACCTCTGGGCAACCTGTCCATTCAGGGTTTACACCCGCATTGTAAAAAATTTCTTCCTTTTATCTAGCCAAAATTTACCCTCTTAAAAGTTTAAAATCATGCTTGCTACATGATACTTATGTACCAGCTGGTCATCTAGGCACTTGGTAAATAAATATAAGCACATAAAATGGCTTTGTTTAGCTTTAAGAAGAGAAGGTGTGAGGAGTGGGGATCTAATCAGTGTCTTGACTACTTAGCAGAGAGGGGAAGGTTATAATCATAGAATCAATCATTAAGGTTGGACAAGACATCTGAGATCATGGATTCCAACCATTAATGTAGCACTGCCATGTTCACCACTAAATCATGGCCCTAAGTGCCACAGCCACACGTTTTTGAACACTTCCAGGGATGGCAATTCCACCATTTCTCTGGGCAGCCACTCACTGAGAAGACTGAGCCAGGCCAAAAGCCTTTTAGAGGGAGGACTAAAAGATAGGCAGCAGTATGCTGCAGCTACAGCATAAGCAATTCAAAGTACGATTTTCCAGTCTGGATTTTAACCAGGAATTTCTTTCCCAGAGTACTACAGCCTGAAGACAGGAGCCAAGAGAGGTAGCACACCTTCATCCTTGGAAATTTTCCACTTACTGAAAGAGCCCCGAGCAGTCTGGTCCAACTTCCAAGTTAGTCCTGCTATAAGTAGTGACTAGACCTTCAGAGAAACCTTCCAATTCTTTTCCATTTTGGCTTTAACCAATAGGCAGAAAAGCTGCTTGCAAGGTGACGTAAGAACAGTTCATAACTCATCCAAGGACCCATAACCCAAAACTTTCAGCTTCTAATGTGAAAAAGTTCACTTTTGTCTGCTACATATTTACATTTGAAATAAGAAATGAGCCAGGCACAGCACTACTAGTCTTTAAGAAGAACGACTAATCCTAAGTCCAAGTGAAAGTATAGTGACAAGGAAAAGGTTCTTTGAAGATGAAGAACTGCATTAGCCTAGCTCCAAAGAAGACAAATCAGTTGCTCCATTACTCAAACTTTCTATAAATGCCTTCAGCAGCACCTGGGAAATCAGTCACTTCAAAGGACTATAACAATTGCTGCAACAGTTGTGTAGGACAAATACTTTTGCAAAACCTCATCCCTTCTCACATCATCAGAAGTATTCATGGGAACCCTGAGCAAAATCTTTTTAACAGAAGAGTTCTCAAATAGGGATTTTTGAGAGTCTTAAAACAGGAATGTCTCAGCCACCAATAATAAAATATGGTCATTTACGCTAGTGAAGTTGGTGTAATTCCTTAGAATTAGTTTTAAAGGTGTTCACACAAAGTGTTGAGATAGAAGCTTAATTCCAGCACTTTGTCAGACATTAATTTCTAGACTTTGAGGAAACTGGTGATTCAGAGACAGGCTCACAGCAAGCCCCATAAGGAGCAGCTGTCACTGCCAAGCCTTCCATCACCAGCACACTTCATCATCTAAATAGTAAAAGTCACATCAGTTAGCTACACCAATTATGTGCACTGAAGACCACACAAAATGCGTCTTACGTCATGGCCTGGTATATTGATTCAATGCCGTAACGCATTGCAAATTCATCCACGATCTCTTGCGCTGTCTCGTCAAAATACACCTTCCAGGCATCATCTCCTTTGGCATCAGGGATCTTCACCACCCCATTCCCTTGCACATCTGTGAGATGGTGAAAGAGGTTCTGAAAGACAAAGCAGGAATAGGTTTGTATGTGAGGCTGCTGAGGCCTTTAAGCAAGATTCACGAAGATCTTGGAACTGCTGAGGTGATGGCACTAACACAAATTCCCTTGTTCTCCTCCTCTTTCTTTCCCCCTACCCATTCTGTGTTTTCTGCTTTTGCCTTCTTTTCTTCTTGAGTGCTCATAGCTGAATATTTTGCATGTGGACCTACAACTTTACCCAGCAAACATTGTGAACAATGCAGAACAGTGCTTCAGTGCTCTGAAACCACACACTAATTAGTTTCCTGAAACCTACACATTTCTGTCCTCGGAAAGAAATGTCTTGGACAACCTATTTAAACTAGCTGACGTTACAGCTCTGTATCAGCATTGTAATTATTATCATACAGCAGAACAGTCCAAGGAGTGGTTTTTCTTCTGAGAAGGATACCCTTAAGATCACCCCTAGCAACTAGACACTTGCATTATTATTCATCATAACCTTTCACTTTATCTAACACTACAAAAGTTTTCAGCTATCATTGCTGTGCAGAAATTGCACAATCAGCTCAGTGGGTTTCTCAGTTATCCTCAAATTCAAGACAGTTGCAGATTCATCAGCCTTTCAGACAGCTGGCTCCCTGCAGCAAGGGGTGCAAAAGTCTAATGATCTCATTAGTAGCTAGAGGACTGTGCTTTACACTACTATTTTTCCTGATTAAATTATACTTGCTGTAAATCATCTTCATTTTAGAATACACAAATGAAAGAAGGGGATACTTAAAATGAGACCTATTTGCAAAAAAACAGCAGCAAGTGATCATGGATGTTCAAAGGAAAAAAAAAAGAAACAGCTTATCAAACAGAAGCCATCACTGAATTAAAAAACAAATATGTATTGAAGGAGACAACGCAGCCTACTAAAAGAAGCCTACTAATGTTTTTTCTAAGCTCCATATCTGTCCCATAGACAGCTCCTTGGTAAGGCTGGAAGACACCACAGGACTCATCCAGCCCAGTGTCTGGATAAATATGTTGTTCCTGTTGATGAACGATCTACTCTGTGATGCAAGTGTCCTTCTTGTCTAAGATGAATTTACTTAAACCTCCCTGGACTTTAGGATATTCTTGTATAGAGGGCTCTGACTACTCTTCCTTATTCAGGCACTGAGTTTCACCCTGCCACCCGATTCTCTTTGACATAGGTAGACTGGGCACAATGCATCTCTCCAAGGTAGGGTTATTCCTTTAGTCCTTTTCCTAAGTCATCTTTGGGTTTCTTCCAACTTCTGCAGCATTGTCTCCCCAGCTCAGCCCATCCTGAGACAGGTCGGTACCCAGTAACCTCAGCTGATCTTCTGTTCCCCAAAAGCACAGTTCTGTTTCCCCAAGCTGTTGTACATAACTACACACCAGTGCAGCAGAACAAAAGAATTTATACCACCAATATATGCATCACTCAACAGCCAGAAACAAAACCCTCCACAATCATAATTTACCTACAAAACATTTTAGTATGCATCCTCTAAAGACATTGCTCCAGTACACATTGAAAACATCACTCAAGGAATTTCAAAGGTTTCTCCACATTAAACTCATCTTTGATTCTGAGTGGATCCAATGCCTCATCTCTGCCTAACAGTAGTACAGCTGTGACATGGAATGGACTGAGCCAGCCAGCCCCCAGCATGGGGGACACAGCCTAAAGCTGCCTTTGCCTTTCTGACAAATGCAGGTCTGATGATTCACTGCGTTACCAGGCCTGCATAGCAGGGAAAGCAAAGCTCACCTAGGGCAAAGTGGCACATTCCAGGGAAATGAATGTCAGAAAATTGCTTTTTCAGTAGTCAGAAGGAACATGGTGATGTTCCCGCCTCTTACCTCGTGAAGGCAAGTGTACTGAATATGATATGGAGCCACCTTCTCCTCGCCTTTGATCTCCACACTGATTTGCAGACGAATAGCCCCGGACACTGCAGACTTATCTGTTCTTTTCTCTAGAAGGAAAAAAACATCAGCAACTATATGCATTGTTCATGTTCAGAGCACAGACATCTTGGGGTGACAACACTGGCAAAGAAACTGCTGGAAGCTCAGGCTGAGTCATCTCAGAGAAAACTTTCTCTTTTCTTTCAAAACATTGAATACTAAGTAGACATCAGCAAAACAACTGCCATGATACACCCTCAATATGACACATCTAGCTAGAACTATGTACATTTTTAGACATAAGACAGCCTTTCCATCAGCAAATGTGCTACAGGGTCTTGGATTCAGTCAGCTGAACTAGAACCACCAAGGACAGATTCCTTTCCTGAGAACAGGGCTGAATGATGTGGAATTCTTCCCTAACTTCACCATAGCCCTGAACTCCTGGGAATTGCTGGCTGTTCCTATCAAGAAGATTTTGGATCTCCTACAACTATTACTGTGCCTGTCAACTCAGCACCATTTGGTTACTTGCTAGTACTTTCCTCAACAGTCACTGGGAAAGGTCTCAACAACCTGCCAGCCCAGTGCAGTGCACTTGATGGTTTTATAGTCAGGCAAAACGTTTGTGTTAAAACAAAACAAAAAAAAGGATGTATGTAAAAGGGCAGTATGCCTCCAGCACAGGTGGAATACAGTCCTGCCCCAAGCATTTCACCCATTGTACTTTTCAATGCCTGACAGACAAAACTCATCAACCCTCTGACATGTTACACTCCATTTTATCTGGGATAAACTTTGCAACTGCTCTGCAGTGGCATCATGCATGTACCCTTTGAAACCATGTAAGCTTTTTTTTATTTCCTTTCTTGCAAGTTGTCCATATGCATCCAAGTGCTATCAAACATTCCCAAACTAACACGTAACATTTTCAGTCCCAAAGCCCTGCTCACCAAGGTTGTACCACACATCCATTTCTCCGCTCAGAGTACGAACTTCAATGATTGTCTGCCCCAGGAAATCATCTGACTCGCGTTTCAGTCTCTGCTTGACACGAGACTTGATGTCATCATCTTCATCCCACACTCGCACCTTGATCCGGTCAGAGGAATTATGGCACTCACTGCAAACAAGAGAAGTGTAATTTATTTAAGAGTGCATAATGCAGCCAACATTTATATGCGACACGCTTCGCGTTCCTCTTGACCCATTCATTCAACATTAGAGGGATGTATTAGCAAAATCTATTAGCAAAATGTAAACAATGCCTGTTTATTTAAAAGTGGAGCATCTGGTATGAACTACTCAACAACCTCTTGGTGCGCTCTAAATGCTCCCGTGACATGGCAGATACTGCACTCCAGCCCTGACCTCGACCACCAACTTCACACTTACTAAGTGGTTGTGACTCTCCTGCTTGTCCTCACTGTCAGCAGCAGCTCCCCAAACTTGGGAATTCTCTTCACAGCTGACTGTGAAGCCCACAGAAACCTGGGGATAGCTAAACTGGTAAATGCTTTCATATATCCCCCAGAAATGACGATGAGCATCTCACTGGTTTCAGTAGCTCACTCCATCAATGACCCTCTGTTCAGCTGTAGGTGCTAAGGGCTACCTGTATTTATGCAGTATCTAGGACAACGCATCAAGGTCTGTGACACAAACCCCTCACGCTGGTTTCTAAGAAAAGGATAAATAGCTCAGGTGGAGGTAGATCTCTTACTTCAAAATAGTCACAAAGCAGTAGTGTATGAATGCACAATACATTACAACCAAATGATGCACATACTGCCTGAGGGGAAAGGGTGGGGTACAGTAATTACAGCATTGGCATTTAATGACTAGAATTGATTCTGCCCATTATTCACAGCTTAGACTGATACTTTGTGCTCTGAGCAGATCAATAATGACATTTTCATTAAGAGAAGTAGTTTACTGTTTGATGAATTGGCACCCTTCAGTTTAATGCACAGGCAGAATTTGCAGACTCTCCCTCTTCTTTAGGTGTTCGCCTTTTGTAGATCCAAAAAAGCTCTTGGATGACAGAAGTGGGTAGAAGAACTGTATTATAAGAGCTCTGCTCATTTACAGGGCATGCAATAAAGCAATTTGAATGCTCATATGAGACCATGACAAGGGTGATTACTCACCATAACCACTACAAATGTCTACCCTCAAGCAAATAGAATATATGAAAACAGGCAACTGCTGCTGAAGGCCTGTTTTCCAGCCTTTTTAACATTAACATGCTGCATCTGTTGCTAAGCAACAGGGAGAAAGAAGAAATGGGTCAGAAGAGATCTGCTAAGCCTGGTCAATAGGATATGGCAGTGACTGGTATGAGCATGCTCTCTCCCAAGAAACCATTTGGGCTCTTACTGCCACCACTGTGATTTAGGACAACATTTAACAGATGTCCATGCAGCTCCTACTGATTTTTCCAGTAGAGAGGGATAGCTGGGAATTATATGGACAAAGTTAGAGGCGATTCCATGCAGTTCTGATCACAGACAGAGCACATCACTGCTCCCTGTCTTTGCTTTACAATCAATGCTGTATTTAGAGTTCAGAAGAGAAGAGATCCTATGTTTGTCTCCTGGCTTTATTCTCCTCTCCCTCCTTTTTTGCTGCAAGAACATCTTCCTTAACAAAATCATGCAGCCAAGCGTTCACAAGCAGGGAATTCCTGCTACAAGGAACTTGCTGTTCCTTGTAGCTCTCAAATTTATCTGAGTACATTGCCATATTTACCAGCAACACAGTGTAACCATGCAAAAGAAATCCTCTCTTCCTGACATGGTGTGCTAATGTACAGCCTGGCAGTTTTGTAGAGGCTCAGTGTTGAGAAATGCATGGGTGCCTAAAAACACAGACTAGCACACACTGCCATTTACAAAGCATCAGTAAGTTAAGTCCTGACTTCTTTAGACCTCACCTTCTGGTGTGACAGCTCTTCGTTAGGAATGTTTTGATCTTGTTTCTTTGCTACCAATGGTCTTTCCTTAAAGAAAACATTCACTGTTCAGACCTAAATCTAACTTAGGCAGTCCCACATGCATCATCCCACGCTCCTGAGGTGGCTGGCTATCATCCTTCACTCGACTACAGTAGCATAACTCACTGCTAAGTGCTACAGGAAACTTTCCAGTACCAATTACTGAGCTACTGAAGCTTCTATTTTACCACACCTTTCTCTGCTGTTTTTAAGAGACTGCTCAGTTTGTATTCTTTATACTGGTCCCATGCCAGAGAGTGAGTTTTATCACTTGCTCACAGCATCTGAAAGCCCTGAGCTGGTGGCTCACCATAAAACATCTAGGTCTGTAAGAACCACAGTCATTGCTTTCAGTGAAGTAAAACAAGTGTATCAAATCCAGTTTACCTTCCAGAGAGCACCCCAAAACAGAACGATGAATACTGGGAGACTTGGGCTTGCTGATTGGTAGCAGTTTTCTAATTAATTAGTTAGTTAGTCATTAGTTAGTTTTCTAACTAATGACATAGCTTCCAATTTGTGACAGCATCACGACTCTGTAAGACTGTGGCTAACAAGCTCTGCTGCTAGAAGCTTTCCCCTTCATTAGTACAGGAGCTCGCACATTTCTCAAGATGCCTGCCCCACTTCTTGCTATGTTTTTATGAAGCTTGATTTCACTGTGTGCACACATGCGTCTGTCCACCCTCCCACAGCCGAGCTCCCACAGCTTTCCCAAGAGGATTCAGAGAAGGAAAGTGACCCCACTGAAAGTAAGAAATTACCAAATGCTTTCAGGTTCTCTTCAGAGTGTGAGAGACTGGAAACCACGTTTGCTATGTACACGGCTCAAAAAACTGTCTCTTTTTTTTTATCCATATCATCTTTATGTTTACAGTGGTGCCACTTTTACACTTAAAGATACCAAATAAAGTAATATTTTCCAGAAACAGCACATCAAAATTTTAAGAAAAATTAAAATCAAATACATGGCGATTTTACTTTTTTTTCCCCATTAACTTTTTCTGCCTGAAGCCGGTGGCTGCTGCAGAGGAAGCAGTTGAGCTTGGTTCTGCTGACTTGCTTTTTATCCCACTCTCTACCTCCATTCTCTTCTACCGCTTCTGTCTTACCCAGCAGCAAAGCCCCAGTACCCACACACATCCCCTGCACTGTCAATATTTGGGTCTCTTCCCATGCCCAGCTAGCAACTGGGCTGAGGGGAAGCACGCGAGCACACGAAGCTGTAGTTAATTCTGTTCTGCGCACACAGTGACATGCCCACACACACGGCAATTAGTATATTGGTGGCTAAACAGAACAAGTAACTGTTGAATTTACACTATAGTTCCTCCCACAATGAAGTTAGTAATTTGCATCCTTCTAATCCAGCTCTAACTTACAAAAAAAAAAAAAAAAAAAATTGTAGAAAGTGATTCTTAGTTGTGAGATCTCTGCCCACCTTGGGCCAAATTGGCTCAGATGATGTCAGGGGTCTGGGACAGAGTATTTAATGTGCCTTGTCTCCTCCAAAATGTGGAGAGAAAGAAAAAGGAGAATGACCAGAACACCACTTTTGAACCAATGATTCGTACTTTGAAAGCAAAAACACCTAACAACATTTGTGCTGAATTTGCTAATTTTGCTTTGTAGAGCTGACAGGCTAATAAAGACAAAACAAAACAGAACAAGTAGATTTAAGCAAGAACAGACAATGAAAATGAAGGATCAGAGGAAGTAACAATATTTTGCAGATTTAAAGCTAGGTTGAAGCCCAGAATTAAGTAATTTTATTGTATTTTGATATTAAAAAATATTTATGGTTCAAAGAGTCCAGTGAATGTCTATATGTCCATATTCTGTGAGCAGTTTCCTTTCAGTGTCATGGCTGATGCAGCTCTCAAGAAGGGCCTGTAAACTTTCACAGTCTGGTGCAGTGGACATTTCAGAGAATGACAGAGAAAAAGAAAGAAAGAAAGTGCAGAGCTGCTTGCAGAAATAATGGATGAGAGAGCAGAAGCCAATACTTTAGGACCTGTGATCATTTTAGGAGGACAGTTTTGCTCCTGAGGAGCACGGCTTAAAAAAAAAAGCAGAAGCGATTTTTTTGGAAAATGAGAAAGGAAAATGAGAAAGTTTAGTCACCAGTATGAGAAGGTCCCATAAAAAGTTATAACAACATACAGAGAGAGCAGGAAAAAAAGTTGTTTGGGGAAATAGTGTGGCTAAAAAAGTCGGAAGATTTGAATATGGTTCAAATGAAGTGTCATGACATGGCAGCTCTGTTGTGGCCAACCTCAGTGGGAATGGAAGGTAGAAAACTTCTTAGAACATGTTCACTTTTAAACAATGATAAGACTCATCTACTGGGGAGAAGAAAGGACAGGGGAGAAAACACCACAGGCAAAATTGGAGTGGTAAGAGAATAGAGGAAAAATCCTTAGTACCTTAGAAGTTAAGCACGACAGCACAGTAATATGCCCTGAGAGCCAGTTGTTGCTAAGAACAAAGAAATGAGTTTTCTGTTCTTACTGTCATGAAGCTCTTTTCTTAGCGGAACAAGTCTAATCATTTGCTGTTACCCAATGCTACAACACCAACTGACAAATTAATGGTGCAGTTCTAACTACAGAGAGCAGATAAAGTGATTCTGAGCATTACACCCTTAGTTACATTAATTCAGCTTTCCAAAAGGTGCTTGCCGCAAGACCTCAACTCTGCGATCAAATTTAAGTCTCACATTGGTAACTGAGCAGGGAAACAAGTGGTATTTTATCAGAGTGCCAGTTTCAGTATCTGTGGCACCTGGAGAAAAAAGAAAGCAAGGAAAACCGGATGGCCCCTGCAACACAGTGAAGGGAGGCTGAGGGGCAGAGTTGCAGTGACATTTATAAATACAGTGGTCTCAGAAGGGGAAGTCTAAAATACAGCTCTGGAACAGTCACATATAACCACAGAGATAACTGAAAGATGCTGAGCTTGACAAGAGGCTCAGCAATTGAAAGGAAAATTGGGGAACGAAATAGAAGCTTTCGTGTGACAAACCAGTGGTTAGCTGAGCAATAGCACCATTCCCAAAGGATTAACAGGAACGTGCACCATGTGGGCTCTGCATGTCCTAGTAAAATACTGATTATCTGCTTGCAGGAGGCACTGCATTTGTTTTAACTCAGTTATTCTTCTGCAGTGAGAAAGAATAAAACATGCCTCTTGCAAACTGTTCAGTGACAATGTAATCTGTTCCAGGCAATGATTTCATACCCACCATTCAAAGCCTCAGACACAGCTGCACTCAGACCATCCAACTTCAAGGGGGTATTACTGTAAAATGAACGAGTTTTGCACCCAGGCCAAGAAAAATGTCAACATCCTGTTTGAATCCAGTAACCTGTAGTGTTCATAGTCATTAAAGACTAAGATGTTCCCTGAATAACAGGTACAGACCAGCAACCTCCAAACAAGCCCAGAGCTCTCCCTTTAAAGTGGAAACTCTGTCCTGCGGTCAAGTTTATCCTCCTAAATGCTGTCTGCTATTGTAAACCATGCAAATGGATGCTCAGTTTCAGCCTTTATAAAAAAAAAAGATGCCAGGAACCCTGCAATTTCCACTGACAGTCCAAAACACAACTAAATGGGGAATTACTGTCTTGTTCTAATTGCACTGAATACGGCAAAAATAGCTTCCCTCTAATATTACTGGACTGTTTCCTGAGGAAATGAGAGTTACACAGACTTGTTATGAAAGCTTCTAAATTCCAACAACTTTTGTGAAAAAATAACAGCTAGATGGAGAAGAGAAACCCATACCAGCTGCTGTCCCTGGAAAGCCTGCAGCCAGCTGGCTCCCATGGACCAATCCATACAGACAACTCGGAATCCAGCTGCGGGCAGGACACTTGCTGCCTTCTGTCCAGCCAGAGTTCAAGGCAAGGGAAGAGAGCTGAGGGCACAGGGGAGAAGGCATCTGGCAAATGAAGGAAGCCACCTATAAGTCTGTTCATCATAACTAGAGGAAAGAAATTGGGGTTTACTGCAGAAGGGAAAGGGATGTAAAGCCAAGGGAAGCAGGGTGTGTGCTCACAGAACAACACGTTTGTATTGCAGGAATGGCTGAAGCTTTCCCCATCAAGCTTCCTGCTGCCAGGCACCATATGTGCAGAGACTCTGCATCAAGCCAGCAACACTTTGAACTTGGCAGAAAAATCAACACCTTATATTTTCAAAGGTCTTCAAACTCCAGTGAAATATACAAAAATCTCTCCATAACAACACATTTCCTAAAGCTACAGATGCAAACATACAAAGAGATAATTTTCAGAAAGAAACAGGACCTGGAAATCACTTGCTCAGGCAACAGAAATACACTGTGAGAACTGGTCATTAAGCAGATGTCTACAGTTACACAGGCTAGTAATGACCTAAATAGCACCTATAATGGAAACCCAAAGTGCTTTCAACCTTGTCTTTTCTAAAATACGGTTCTAAATCTGGACTCCTAAATTGGGTCAAGCCTTCCACAACATTTTTTTTTTCCTGAGAATATATGGGAAAGGAACAAAGCCATTTTTAGGAAGAGGTATTTAAGTTAATATACTTTTCCATCCATCACTGTGCATAAGCACAAAAAAACCCAATTCGAAATAGGCTACTGCTGCCTTAAAAATTTAAAACTTGTTTAAGCTGCTTTTAATAAACTTCACTGAGTCTGTAGAAAGAACTCTATCACTCAGCTGTACGTAGTCTGCCTTAATTCATGCCATGGATTACAATAACAATGCTATAATTATAATGACTGATGCACAGAGATTTCTGGCTCTATATCCAACCTTTGAAAAGACACTGGAATTGTGTTCATATAAAAGGCACTGTGCCTAATGAACACCAGCTACAAACAAGTCCACCAAGCCAAACAGAAAAGGAATAGCAATAGCTGACATGCATATTAGTAACTGACCTCTCTTGCTCCTGTTGAAACGTTAAACCATTTTGAACACCAAACTTTTCATATGTTTACTGCAAGGCTTTCAATAACCACTAGTACACCTTTCTCTCACTATAAGAAATTAACTTCTTTCTAAGAATGAAAGATACCCCCCTGCCAAAGCCTTTAAATTTGACAATCTCTTGATTGTCCTGACAATCTCTTATAAAAAAGCTTGGTATGTAGTGGGTATTTTTGGCTTGCATATGTTGATTTAAATTTCCATTTCATTATGGGGTAGAAAATTTTAGAATTTTCTAAAGAGTTGTAAGCTGCAAAAAGATCCATAATTTCAAAATAGAAAGATGGACGTGTAGAAGACCAGTGCTGCACACACTTCTAAATGACTCTCTCCTCACCCAGCAGAAGAGGAGCTTTGACACCTACTCATGAAATGACACACTGAATCCAGAACTGAATGCTCTCCTGCCATCAGTCTGGACACTGTGCTCCTTCCCTGCATGTCCCCCTGGGATTCCAAGGAAATTAAGACAACACCTATACCATAGGCAAGACGGAAAGTAGCACCAACTCTAAAGCCCAACAGCATGTTATCTGCTGAATCACAGTCATGGCGATGAAGTCTAAACAGCGGCACCGTTAAAACTGTGACATTTATCACGTTGTGCTATCTATCTTTAAACAGAGTATTTGTTGAAGCTCCTAAAATTAGAAGGGAACACACTGCAAATACCATGGTAACTACTTGGCATGGTAAATCAAGGTCCTTAAGGCTCCCACACAGACTTACTGCTATTGTGACTAGAGTTATTCAAATGGCACCTAAGCATACTTACTACTTACCAAGCAGCAATGTTACCTTGGATTAAACTAAAAATAAAGTCAAGGGCTTACTAGCCCAAAATAGCACTAAGATTTTTCTGACGTTAATGAGTAGCTCAAAACTGCTTAAAAATAATTTTGTTTGTACTGTACACCGCAAAGACAAAGCTGCGCTGATATAACTCTGATTTTAAAACACAAACAAATTGCATTTTGCAGAGAGATCAACCACCAAGCAGTTTAGGGAAGAACAGGGAAATAAAAGAAGGAAGGTAGGAGATGGTAAGAAGGAAGAGCTTACATCTTAAAAGGAAATAAAGATCTTTGAGATCAAATGAAATCATCCAGAATCTTCAGAAAACGCTTGCTGGATTTCATGTCTCCATTTTGTTTTATAACACGTTCAATGACAAATTGAGGGTACTGTTTACTTATCCAATAAAAGCAGGATGGAACAATGTATTCCGAGTGTAGCTCATATCTAAAGAATTGTGCCTCCGCTCTTTGCTTTCGATTCAGACATCAATACCTTGGTCATCTTGAAAGCTCCCTCAAGAAACAATGGCTCCCTCAAGTTATTGTTAAATTGATTTTCCAAAACTGAAAGGAGAGACTGCTGGTGTGACAGACAACTGACAACTAATTACCTTTAAATTTTGTTGCCGAACACTAGTAGCAGGTCACAACAACATGTCACAGGAAGTTTGCTTAGTCTTTTACATGAATTTTACTCTCATATTACAAAGAATTTTGTTAGCCAGGAACAATAGTCACTGACTTAAATATTTTCCTTTCTTTCTAGCATTCTCTAGAAACATCAATATAGAAGTGTTCAGAAGGCAGACAATTTGTATATACAAAAGGAAGACCGATGGGATAAATAGGTGTGCACTACATACATTGTTAAAGATGTCAACCCTCCACACGAACACACACACACAGAGTAAAAATAGAACCATCCCAGATTACAGGTGATGTGGGAATGAATTCTGACAGAGAAGACATAGCTGTCAAAGCATAGACTGTACAAACAGGTAAAATGGGAGTGAGAGTCAAGAGCACTCACAAGTAAAACTTCTCTTCCCATACAGGGTTCAGATTCCCAAAAATCGTTTTTGTCCTCTTCTTTGTTTTACCCACTTGAACGGTTACATATGGATCGCTGGACCCAGTCTTGTCTTTGGCCTGCAGACCCTGAGCACACACCACTGAAAGGAAAAGAGAAGGGTTACCACCACCATGCAACAAGACAATGTGGCTGAACACCATGTGAAGCAGCAGCTCATAATGGCCAGAGAAACAGGAATATCACTCATGAGAGCATTTCTGATGAGCCTCAGCTTATGGCGCACTACAGTGCCTGCAGTAGCAACATCTCCATGTGCTACCTGTATGTACACTGAGCAGAAGGAGACACAGGTCAGAGGAGCCCTTCCTCTCTGTTCTCCCTACCTTCACACCAACTGTCTCTAACTTCAGGCTCCCGAGTGAGACCAAGAGAACCCATGACTCCCTCACTTACCGGTGATCGTGATCTTTGCTGACCATTTTGAGGTGCCATCGAGCACACTCTGCTTCACTGTCTTCATCTGCTGCGCATGTGTCATTTTGCTCTCACAAAACACATCTCTGATCAAGTCAAAGATCTCTGGTTTGTTCCGCTCCCGGATTTTCATGCGATCCTTCATTGCCATGATGAAATTCTGGGTTCGGTCTTCAGCTCCGTGCTTCGAGCTCTTCTCCGCTGCTCCTGTGCACCAGGAAACATGCAATGCTCATCAGAAACAAACAAGCACAAGATCGTGTTTCACTGTCTGGACAGCAGGATCAAAGCTATGAGTTACCCTCCACATCATGGCTCTTGCTATTTTACACTCATTCCCCCCAGTTTCAACATATGCACAGTGAATCGGGACCATTTGGAGTTGAGAGGGGATAGTTCCTCTATAATTCGGGATCAGATTGCTCTCCTGACAACAGGCTGATTTAATACCCTTACAGCTGAGGAAGACTCAGAAATGAGGTTCTTACATTAACAGCAGATATCAGCATGCCCCCTGCTCTCCTCATCTTGCTTCGAATAAATAAATCCCTGCTTGGGCAAGTGCTAAGAAGAGGACATAGGACCCCCATTACAAATAGTATCTATGAGCTTGTCTCAAAGCTGCACTTCAGCACCACTGAAGAGAAGTTCAGATGGCTCAACACTGTTGGCATTTCCTACCCACGTGCGCCACACGACTCCCTGTTCAGCACAGAGTCACTGCAAATCTCTGCCTCATTTTGCCTGGAACCACCCTGTTTGGATCAGGCATCAAGCTGTAGACACACAAAGTGCCTCTCTGGATGCCACTCTATTTTATCAATTTGTATGGAGACAACTCAAATCATCCATTTCTAGAATTACACAGGTATATTAACTATAACAAATACCTTTAAGGTAGCAAATTCAATAGTTAAAACCTTGAGCCATCATAGGCATGGGGCACTAGTACAGTATCCAGCAGCTGGAAACACAAGAGCCAGGTACAGAGTCTGTAACTGCATAGGTATTCAACTGGATCTGGAAAAAAAGAACCCTTGGACGCTTGCATACTGCTTACAAAATTTAGAAGTTTATAACATTATGAGATAAGACTACTCCCAGAACTGACTGCTTCCTACTCAATTTTGACAGTCATTTTTACTGTCAAAATTTAAAGACTGACTATTGTGTCAGATGTGAGACATGCATTAATGAAAGCACTGACATGAGCTAACAGAGCAGATAACTCAGGTGTGAAATGAAAAACAGGAACACAAGATTGCACACTGCCTCTCTACCCACTGTCTGCAGCAATTTCAAGTTATGATCTTAAATCAGATTAAGTTAGAATGCTACAAAAGTCTTGTGAACACACTCAATCATAATCCTTCTCTTTAATGTACCTTGCTTTTGCTTGTTTTTCTTCTCCAGGATAGGTTAATTAAAGCAAGCTTAGTCCTAGAAAAATTATTTTCATTCAGATGTTCACCAAAATTAAATTACCTTAAAAAATATGTATTAAAGCAGGTATAGGTGTGTGCAAAGGGAGCCACTAATCACAAAGATACATAAAACTGTTTTCTTCCAGAAGAAGTGGGCAAATATGATATCTGGAGCACCTTTAATATAAGGTATTACAGTTTTGCATATGAAACTGTTTCAGCAGGTAGAGACTAAATATGAACAAAGTATATATTTACACTCACACAGGACCCCCAGCAGGACAACATAACAGGCAACCTTGTCAGCAGGTTGTTGTCAACAGGGAGCACAGTGACTAGTGCTGCCTGAAGACACCCATGTCTAGGGCCCTCACTCTAACACCTTTCACCATGACTCAATTCACTTCAATAAAGAAACAAAACTCTATTATAATTTCCACCATCCACACCAAAGAGAACAAAAACACAGTTTGGAAAAAACTGTGGCCGCTGAAGTGTCAGAAGTTCATTCAGGACACTGCATAACAAGGCATGCTATTAAGGACCTGGGTGTAAAACAAGCCATAATTTTACATTACCTGAGTATTTTTTCATTTCTCTTGCTAGAGGCTTGATGTTCAGTATTTAATTTAGTACAATAAAATGTACATGCCCCAGAGTTTCCTGTTGTTGGCTTAAGATGAAATGAAATCAAACACTGGAATTAATTACGCAGTCCCTGCTGTTTCTACTCACCGGTGATGAACCTAACATTTATTAAAGGAATATGAAACCAAAATTATACCAGGGGCTATACTTTGAACTTCAGATAAGAAGTGCTATTCAGTTTTAACAGAACTAAGTCTTCTGGGGATGGAGGTAGACTCTATACTGTATATGCAGAGCTACAGAAAATTACTGGGAAATCAGGAAAGGCCAAACTGAGCAATTTGCCTTTCCCGGCTGGAATTCTGAAATCTGTTGTGATCCAAAGAAACCAGCTGTGCCCTGACCTTTCTGAGTTTAAGGAAATTAAGAACCTAATTCAAACATTAAGAGTTTCTGTTATGCATGAGAGGAATGCTCCATTTCTGAATAATTGTTTAAATAAATTACTAGCCAGGCAGCTTGTGAATATAAATGTTTCCCTGTCCATCAGTGAGTTGGGACAAGAACTACCATAGTTCTGGGGTAGCATGATCTGCATCACTGCCTTAATACAAACACCCCAGAAGCCTCAAATGGTGCTTTAGAATGCAAACTTGGACAAATGGAGGAATTCTAGTTAAAAACAAGCTTAATATCCCCACAATCTGCAGATACCTTGCACAGTGGATTTATCCCTCTGCAAGCCTAGCAGCAGTCCAGGGCACCCTGGATTGCAGGACATGTAAGCCATGTCACAGAGACCCCTAGAGTCCTCTCTTTAGTCACCTCCAAAGCTTGGCTCTAACTTCAGAGGACATGCTGCTTCCCCACTCTGCCCAAATAATTTGCACAGATATGGTAGCTCCATTATTCCTTCCCTGATCGATCTTTCCCTGAGCTGCAGACACCTTATTTAACAATTCAGACTAATAAAGAACAGAGAATGTCTGTTCTGCTGTCTCAACAACACACTTTTAATTTTAACATCTGCTTCTTGGTACAAAACCAAGAGAATTTCCAAAACAACCACTGCGGGACTAATTAACTATGATGTATGTGTTTTAAACCCAAAACATGTCATTATACTGAATGGCAGAGGATGCTTTTCCTGGTGTTGGACTGGGATTGTGTTTCTTCAAGCTGCAAAGAGGGTTTTGGCCAGTGGATCAGCTTTTCAAGTCCTGTGAATAGCAACTGACAGGCATCTGAATATACAAGGAATGTGTACAGTACTACAGAAATGGTTCTGGGTTTTCTTTCTCTCTTCCTTTCTAGGACTGAAGGATGAGTGAATTTATGACTGGAAACAGAAAGCAAATATGTCTATATTGGGAATTGTATTGATACAGCTATTAGTAAACCACCAGTGCTGTTATTCTATGCTTTAACAAGAAAAAGTCAAGAAAGCAACACTGGCAGGATTGAAGGCAGCTGTTCAGTAGGCGGATAATGCTTAGAAATTATATATTCCTGAAACTTAAAATAGATATTCAAGTTTCAAATAAAGGTATCCCTTCCTCCCTCTGTGCAAATATTTTCCTACATAGAACTTTGGGAGCAAACAAATGTTCCTCAACATGGTGTCTAATCATCATTCAACCCAGAAGCCAAGATGATCATCACAGAGTGACTTAATCAGTCTCACTAACAGTCCACTCACTGACCTGGTCTCAGGACTGCAGCCTCTGAATTCACAGTGCAATACATACAAGTTTCTCACCCAAAAAGCAACAAACACACCTGCCTTCCAGTCATGAGTCAAAAGCACTAAACATGTCCAGAGGTGAACCCAGAAGTCAAAACAGTTCAAAAGCAGGGTATTTGGTAATGTAGTCCTGATGGCTTGTGTAAACTTCTCCAAGGTTTAGCTAACTACAGATTTCATGTTCAAGAGTAGTTTGAAGCTTGAGATCTCATTTCCTCACTTTCAAGACCTCCAGAGGACCAGATTCTGTTATCCCAAGACATTTTCTTTTCTCAGGTTTAACTGTAATCTACTGAGGACTAGATTAGCATAACTACAAAAAACACCCAAGACACAATTATAGACACGGATTACTATGGCTTTTCAAAAGCTAGCCCTGAACTGTACAGGCCTCTTTTACTGGGATCTTGCTAGCATAATGTCCTTCCCTTCCACCCACTTCACAACTACTTCTATGCATTTGTTCCTTGGTATCCTACACATCCATCCCCAAATTTACTCTTCCTTTGATATCAACGTTGCCCAACCCACTCTGATTTAGTTAGTACTACACCAGTGCTCAAGGCAAGAGATAAAATTCCTTTCCCAAAACCTTTGCATGCTATGGGGATGTTAAAGATCATCCTTCTATCCATTTTCAGCCAAGCAAGAAAGGAAATTATCCATGTAGCAGAGATTTCCACCACTTTCAAGAATAGCAGAAGGCTAAAAAGAGAGCACCATCCCTTGAGCAAGTTATTTATGAGCTTATGGTAAAAAGGTAAGAGCCCTATCATCAGAATAATAACTTCTCAGTGCCTACAATACTGCAAACCAGGTGGCTGGTTCCAGTTTACTGCACTTCAGACATCACCAGTTCATGGAACAGCCCTGCTGAACCAGTC